CTACCACAAAGCAACAGATTTCTGTCCCCCCACATATGCAACACTGGACTGTGACAAGCTATTCTACTCAACTAACTAATGGATTCCCCCCGCCTCCATGTGGAATCCAGAGAATTAAGGGGGACATGAGGTATTTAAGAAATAATCGGTCAAATCCAGAGATCATCTGGTAATGGCAGGTATGAGGGTGATACGGAGCTACGTTCAGAAGTTTGCCTATGAATTGCTGAAAAGCAAGGCTAGGAAGATAGCTATGGCCCAAATCTTGGTTGTGGGTTTCTCAGGAGGTACCTGGCTAGGTCACTGCAGGGAACAGAATGCTGGCCAGCAGTTTGGTTCAGCAGAGCTCTTAATAATATGGTTCCTCTGGTTCAGGAGTAACCTTCCCTTTCATTGAGAAAGCATCAATATCATATCCTTTATCACTTTAAGAGAGCTAAAAATAATGCAAATATATTTCACACCTGGCAGCCAACATGTCCTTTCGGTTTCAGATAGTACATGGGTAGATACCGTATTTTTTGCCCCATAGGACGCACCGCCCTATAGGACGCACCTATAGGGGGGGATAAAGAAAAAAATTATTTCCCCCCCCCCGGCATGGGGCTGGCGCAGGGGAAGCCCGAGCTTCCCCCGAGCCCAGCCCCCAGAACAGCCTGCTATCCGCAAACCTAGGGAGCCGCGCCGGTCTCCCCAGGCTTGCGGAGAGCTGCGCGAAGCCCGGGCGCGCTGCTTCAGAATGCAGGCAGCTCTGCGCAACCTTTGGGAGCCTGGCGTGGCTTCACGCCTGGCTCCTGAGTGTTGCGCAGAGCTGCGCGGAGCCTGGGAACGCAGGCAGCTCTGCGCAACCTTTGGGAGCCCGGTGCGGCTTCGCGCCGGGCTCCCGAGGGTTGCACAGAGCTTCCTGAAGCCTGGAGAGCGAGAGGGGTCGGGGGCACGACCCCTCTCGCTCTTCAGGCTTCAGTGAAAGCATGTATTTGCACCATAGGACGCACACACATTTCCCCTTAATTTTTGGAGAAAAAGTGCGCCCTGTAGGGCGAAAAATACGGTAGTCTAAAAAAGCCTGAGACATGAATTTTCCTGGCCCTCTAGCAGCTATGGTGGCTCATTTACCAGAAGTAATATATTTACTCTGGAAGTTAATATACACCAGGAGGCTTAGTTTGGTCAGAATTGAGTATATGCTTCAATATTTTGCAAGCTGACATGTGACTGTAGATCTATCAATTTTGGTTTCTTTCAGTTTCTTTCCCTTTGTTCCAGTCTTAAATTCAGTTCTCCACATTTCCACATGAATCTGTGATTTTTTAAAGTCCTCTCAAAAATGCATTCAGTTGGCATTTGCTAGTAGTAAAGTGATTTCAAATTACTGTAAGGAGCAATTAATGATTTTATGTATTATCAACCCAAAAGTGGAAAAAACAAACCAAGTTCAGCATTTAAATTAATCTCTTCCAAATAACTGCTTGTGGGTTGAGTTGGTTTAAGATGGAGAGTGCAGGCCAAAGTGAATTTTATCAAATCCAGGCAACTACCCAACTTTGATGTTCCCCTCCAAGACATCTGTATGGGACTTTACTTGTGACTGTTTCAAGCTATTTATCTTAATGTAACATACCTAATGCATGGGTAGACATACTACGTCAGAACAGAGGTTTATACAGAGAGCACTGCATTCAGCGCCAGTCTTACCTTATCTTCCAATCTATCGTTGGGTTGTTATTTTGTGTGACTATCTGGAAGAAAGAGCAAATAAAGTTTCAGCCCCTATGCTTTTAAACATTAATGCATGTTCAAGGTATGATTAATGGATAGAGCCCCAAGTTTCTTGATAAAATACAGAAATCTGAATAAGATTCCATCTTTGACACCCAAGATAGTGCAAGTCCAGTAGGCCCATCAAAATAGTGAAAGTTCATTAGGCCCATCAAGGTATACAATATAGGACTGGAGTTGTATAAGCTTAGAACAGGGCCTGCTTTTGGGGGCTGCAGCAGAGGGTGGACAAGCACTCTCTCACACACAAAACAAGAGAGTGCTCTTACGCAGGCACACAAAATGTAGATCAACTGAGGAAGAAGGATTTCCCTCCCACCTCATCAGATAAGGAATCTGATAATTGGGGAAGGGGCGATTTGTATATCATTAGGGTGCTGGGCTGGGCAGAGATATTTAAACCTCTCTGCCCATCTCAGTGCTGTGTCTAATTTTTCCCTACTTTTTTGTCATCACCGAAATTGGGGTCTGACTGCATCAGACCACAGGGCCAACGGTTAGGCACGCCTGCTGTACAGCCATATAATTATAAGGGACTTCAAAAGTAATCTAGTCCAATTCCCTGCTGATACAGTTGTTTGATACTGATTAACTTCCAAAAACTAAATGATCTGCCATTGGAAGAGATATCACTGCAAGATGAAGAAACCAAAGTGAAGATCTCCACCTTCGTTCTTTTAACCCTATCTCCTCCTGCTGTCCTTACTCAGGACTTCTATTCAACCAATAGCTAGCCTACGTATATCCACAGATTAAACAAGAGTTAAAGAGCCTTGCATGAATTGGCCCATAGTTGCATTATAAATTACTGGCTTAGATATATGTTCATATACAAATGAAGCTTACGGCATTGTACTTGGAGGAGCTATCACCATTATTAGTTATTAAATTTATATACTGCCCTTCATCTGAAGATCACAGGGTGGTTTACAGTATAAAACATAAAATACATAGCCTATTGAATAGGCCATTCAGATCTAATTGCAAACCAATTTGCAATTAACTTTGCTCTAACTTTTATTTTAGCAGGGATTCAAATGGATTTTTGTTTCTGCAAGTTTGCATTTCTCATTTTAGTTTTGCAAAGGGAAAAGAATAAACCAAGCTAAAATAGGCCATATTATCACAATGTTAACTCATTACAAAAAGGTACCTATCGTCCTTAGCCACGGAATCAGAGTAAATTTGCAACAATTTCTAATTATTCAGTTTTACATTCCACCTTTCCCCTTAAACTTTCTTTTGTTTTTCTTTTAAGAATAACACAACTCAACTAAATATTCAGAAATCCAATTAAGGTTGATAGGATTTACTTCCAGATAAACAGGTTAAAGCTATACAATGATAGTATCATAGGCATTATGAAAATACAAACTCATTTGTAAACCTGACAGTGTAACTGAAACAATTTTCATCTTAATTCTTACCAAATGCTGTAAAGTGAAGGAAACAGTACCATCAGAATGGATGTAGGCATTATCAATATCTAAGATTACCATTCTTAATGCAGAATCCAACCCATGAGCCTTCATCTGTTTCATTTTATAACAACACTGGAAACAGATAGCCTGTGCTTGTTCCTCACTTAAAGGCTGCTCATAGTATCTCCTAACTTCAGCTAATAAGACCTCTTAGTGAAATCTTTTGTATGTACCATTGTATTTAGTGGTTTTCTCAAAACTACCATTAAAAAAACCAACCCAACAACTTATGCTTTATAGCTAAAGAAGAAATGCTATCCTCAGAGCTCTTTTATGAGCTCACAATAAAACACCTTCAGGTGTGGCTCTTTTGGAGAAAATGGAGCTTTCCTTAAAGATAAAGTAACTGGCTGATCTCATATCTTTACCCAAACTTTAATTTAAAGCCAAAGTCATTTATTGGTTATTGCACCAATTCCTTAATATATTGATCTGGACAGGAATCTATCTGTATAATTGTCAATATTGATAGAAATATATTGGCTAAATCATATTAAAATTAGATCTTAGTGAAGCAGTCCAAGATCTTTGCTTCTTCTATAGGACACCAAGAAATTTATAGTGTGTCAATGATTTTATGAGCTCCCAGCCTATAAACAAATGAAAAGTAATCAGTTTTCATCTTGATGTGATGGTATACCGGTAATTGAAGTCAATGTGTGGACACACACGCACAACTTGCCTGCACTAACCAGTATTAGTTGATACTGCACTATTGTGGCCTGCAAGTTTTTTCAGGATCAGTTTGTAAAAATTTGATTTGGACAACAGAAGCCGATGTATCTGCTCAGTGTATGGCAAATATATTTTTGGGAGAAACAAACTGCCTCAACCTAACCCAGCCTTTAGTTACTTTGATGCAACCTGTTCTTAGATTACAAACATGGTGAATTGTTTGTTAACAGAGGGATCTGTGCTTTTATACTGCTATGAGTTATGAAAACTTGACTTCTCTGTTTTACAGCTGGGTCACCATTGTTTTGCTTGACAAATGTGATGGGAGATCAGAGATATAACAAAAAGCATGTGGAATACAACCTTCTGGGGTCTCTCATCTGCCTTGGCAATGTAACACTCATGAGGCAAAGCCTAGCCAGCAGTGGAGAAAAGGCGGGATCTGAATGTAAAAAAAACCCCAAATATTTAAAACTGCCTGCATCTTTCACTCAAGCCTAAGGACAACGGAGAGAGACATGCCCTACATTTAAAGCACATTTCTCTCCCCCGCAATGAATCATGGGAACTATCGTTATTTCCTCACGGAGCTACATTTCCCAGAAGCCTTACCAAACTACAATTCCCAGAATTCTTGGGGTTTATACAGCCTCTGGCTAAGGCGGTGCTGCTTAAGGCACTTTTAAGAACAAAAGAAAAGCTCTGCTCGATCAGGTTAGAGGCGCATCTGGTTCAGCATCCTGCTCTTTAACCAAATGCCTAAAACCTGATGGCCTGCTTTCGGGTCTCTCATAGGCTGGTCGCGGATGCTGGATGAGGGGGTTCTTCGGTCTGATCGCACCAGAGCTCTTCTCAAATTTGGAACGTGTGAATCAGTCGACGCGTGTCGACGGCTGTAGCCTTACAAGCGCCCTTCGTCCTCTTCCTGGTCACCAAACGGCTCCTGCCTTCGCAAACCACCGGCGGGCAAAGCCTCACGGTTGGCGCGCTTTTTCTGGCGCGCCTCCCCCGCTCAGCTGCGTCCTTGCAAATATTTTGCCTCCCCGCTTGCCTGGGATTTGGTTTAGTCCAGCCCCACCTCTCGGACAAGATGGCGGCGCCCGCAGCGAGCGAGGCGGTATGGAATCGCCTGGAGGTGCCGTGGCCCGCGTGCAGCGCGACGGTCGCTGTAGCGGCGCAGCACTCGTCAGGTGAGCGGGGGGGGGGGAGCCTACTTATGCTCAGAGAATGTGGTTCTCAGTAGAGCTTAGCTCGCAGGCAAGTGTACCCCTTTTGGGTTTCAATAAGTGGATGTTAAACACGTGCCTCGCTCACCTCTTTTTAAAAAGCATAGTTTTGGCTGAATTTTGCTTCTTGGGGGTCTTTTGTTTTAATCATTCCAGTGGGAGGAAGATCAAATTAGTTCACATCCATTAGTTCACATCCTTGGGTTTTGTTTTGTTTTTGGTAGTCACAGGGTCTTTGCATGCTCCAACTGCACACATGGAGTAAAGATTAAGGTGCAGTTGTTAAACATGACACAGCATTTGATACTTTCCCCAAAGTTCGGTTTTGCGAATCTGTTATAGCCCACAATGTTTCATTCAAATGTTCAAAGACATGTTCTGCCAAAGTTGCTGACAGCACATGCAACCGATAGTTAGATTCAAAATCATTCCAATCCTCCTAATATTGACCATTTGTTGGCATTCTTCTCTATATCCCAAGAGTTTGCCACACCAACCCCAGTTCCAATTCCCCCCAGTATTGTATCCATGAGATCTTTTTTACTTCTTTTCCAAATTTCACTTTCCCCTTTTGAAAGTCCTATAGCATACAGGATATCATTTGTCTCTCCCGGTTTTAAAAGAACAAAGTCGCCACGGTTTTGTGACACGGGCCTGTGCTTAACTGTAGTCAGTGCTTTCCTGTTGAGTTGAATAGGCTCGTAGAAATTAATAATTGAATTGTAGAGTTGGAAGGGACCACAAGGGCCATCTAGTCCAACCCCATGCAATGCAGGAATCTTTTGACCAGCATGGTGCTCGAACTCAGGACCCTAAGAGTCTCATGCTTTATGGACTGAGCTATCAACCTAAGTTGATCCTAATAGATCAGGATTGGAAGGTAAATTTACAGTCCTATTCCACTTCCTCAGTAGAAAATTCTGCTATACTCACTAGGACCTTCTTTTTGAGTAAACATGCATAGGATTAAGCTAAATGTTGCCTCTCTCTCCTCCTTTTAGTCTGGTATGTTGTTAAAAGTTATGTTATTATACAAGTTATGCATGGATATGTGGGGAGGAGAGTTCTGTCTTTTGTTCTACTGTAATTTGAGGAAACATGATACAGAAACTTAAATGGTCAAAGTGAGTTGATAGCACAAGTAATCTGGATAACGGTGGTGTTGTGTAATGGTTAGAGTGCTGTAGGACCTGGGAGACCAGGGTACAAATGGCCACTCGGGTATAAAGCTCACTGGGTGACCTTGGGCCTGTCACTCTCTCTTAGGTTAACCTACTTCACAGGGTTGTTGTGAGGGTAGAAGTGTGTATTCCACACTGAGCTGCTTAGATATCAGTGCAATAATAACTTCTACAACTGTGGAACTACTTTTTGAATAAACTCCAGAAACTGCATGGTTGCCTTCATTATCCCAAGAAAGAACCTCTGGACACTAGTTTTTCAGTGAGGTTTTGCAATTGGAGTGCAAGCAGTTGAAACAACTCCTTCCTGCTATGCTGTCTTCACAAGGCTCATGATAGGAGGCCCATTGGTTTTGTGGGCCTTGAGTGTTGCTGTCACTTTCAGAGACTGGGATGAGGGATTATGGTGGTCTGTGCAGAATAATAATAATAATTTTATTATTTATACCATTAAATTATTATTTGTAGCATCTTGCAGTGATGTACAACAGAGTTGCTAACTGGACTTTAAGTTCTGTAAATTGATTCGAGTCAAAATAGTGCTTGAAACTGGTGTGTTAATTTCCATGCTCAAATCAGCAAAGGGGAAAATATTACTGACTTCCATATACATATACACTTGCTAGAGTTAAGTTAGCAAGCTCTTGGGAGTTCTGAACGGTTTAGGACTTTGAAGTGCACAGTTTCATATATACATGTTTGTTTGCCTATTCCAGTGAGAAGCCTTTCCGCTGTTCTGAAGGGGTGTCATGCTGTGGACATCCTTCTGAAAAACAAAGCCATGGTTGCAGAACAGAGCCTGCTGCATTCAATCATGTATAATTTTCACTATCAGATGAGTCGTCATAGGTCATTTCGGTCCCTCAAGCAGGTAAGGTTGAGAGTCGTCTGGAAATATATTTAGACTTGGGATGCTTAAAGAATTCTTTGAAATGCAGCCATCTATAGAAATCCACTGCTTTCATTTTGTATGTGGTGGTCTGATGGCTGTTTTGTATTTTTTTGTTTTGTGTGTGTGTGTGTGTGTGTGTGTGTGTCCCCAAATAATTACTATAAAAAGGGGTAACAGCTGCTGCACTCATTGAAAATGGGGCTGTAAATGCCTCCTGGACCAATAAAGTTTTATCAATGTGCCATTATTCGCAAGGAGACTGTACAGGCAGTTCCATGTTCCCAGTTCCTTTACTGTACCTCCTAAAACGCCTTTTCCATAGTTTAATTCAAGGAGAATACACATGCTATGGCAGATTGTTCTTCGCATAATTCTACATGCTTACTACCATGAATCATGTCAAAATTTCTTCTTTCCCTCTTTCCCTTTCAGGTAGAACAGTGCTTGAAGCGTTTAAACAGAATGAATCTGGAGAAGCCAATTCAATACCTTATTCTTTTGGGCCCCACGTAAGTGCCATAAGCCAGAACATCTCAATTCTCTAGTTTAGATTCTGTAGTTTAGATTTACTTGGCTATTCAGGAAAGTACATCAGCATATTTTAAACCTGCTGGAAACTATGGGATTCAAACCAGCTGAAATTCAAACACTTATTGGGCAACAGGGTGTCTTGTTGGATCAATCTATGCTAGTGGAAAACAGTAGAAGCTTTGAAACTAGTCTGAACTTTTCAATATAGAATGAACAGATCTGTGTTATTCAAAAACTTATATTAATTGAAGTCAGCCCAACAGAAGGTACCATGCCTTGCCTTGTCCTTTTTATTTTTTTCCTATGTAACCAACAGCACAGTCCTAACCAAAAGAAGTAAGTCCTAGTTCCAAAGTAAGTCCTCTGTGAGGCCTAGGACATAACCAGCATTAAATATTGTGGGGTGCCAACACTTAACCACACCATCTTCTTCTTGTCTCTTTATTTTCAATAGAAAACAGAAACCAGAAAATCCGGAAGAGGCCTTGGTTCCCAGTCAACCTGTGATAGAAGTGATATTAGTAAAGATTTTGGGTGCCTGCAAGCTGTTGCTGCGTCTGCTTGAATGTTGTTGCACAGCTTTTCTGTATCCTTCTGAAACAGTTTGGAATCTAATTTGAAGGTTCTTGTAATTCTCATTTAGTGGTGCAGAATGTCACAGGATATACCACATATTTGTTAGGGGAAACAGATTTGATGACATTTCATTTGCTTCTATTAATAAGTCATTTTGTTATGTATTTTGTGGTGAAGCAGTCGTTTGTGATTCATCTTCAGCATGTTGGTAGAGAATGAGACTCTAAATCTCAGGGTTGTGGGTTTGAGACCCACGGTGGGCAAAACATTTCTGCATTGCAGAGGGTTGGACTAGATCAGGCATAGGAAAACTTGGCCCTCCAGATGTTTTGAGACTACAATTCCCATTATCCCTGACCCCTGGTCCTGTTAGCTAGGGCTGATGGGAGTTGTAGTCCCAAAACATCTGGAGGGCCGAGTTTGCCTATGCCTGGACTAGATGGCCCTCATGCTCCCTTACGATTCTACAGTTCTATGATTGATTTTATTGATTTTTTTAATTGAGTATATGCCTCCAAAGCAGCATATAATCCTCAGTTAAAAATAATAATCTTAAGGCTCACTACTCACTGAGTTCCACTGTGTGTTCATGCACAAAGTGTTCAATAAGTTCAGTCCTAAGTATATTTGATTGAAAGAAACATGCAGGAATATGTGTGCATAATTGAAAGTGTGTGTGTAATTTGGGTTTCTAGCCTCTTTCGTTAGCAGTCCAACCTTAGTTGTTATCCAACCTTAATCAATTTGCTCATCAGTTTGTCCCTTAAGCACCTGTGTTTGCAAGAGTACATACTGTTGAATACTGTGGTTTTGGGGTTGCTGAGCCGATTATGGTATGTATACCTGTAAAACATTTTAATTCTTTCCCTTCTGCTTGTTCACTTCAATGTCTTTAGCAGAGCATGGTCCCTGCTAACACCAGCAGTGAACATCCTTCCCATTACTTCCCTATTGCATATGGAAGGACCTAGAACAGATGTGCAATTTCTGTAGCACTAACAACAGTTCAGGAATGATTGCTAACATGTGTGTCTGGGAAATCCAACCGGAAGACCCAATTGTTTATCAAGGAGTTAGTGATTCTAACATGGTTACCCTTCCTGCCTCTGTTCCTTCCCCCTCCCTGCCAGCTGTTAAGTTATTGAAGGTGTGAGAACCTTCTCTGGTGTCCTAATCAGTTGGGAGGAAGTTAAGCCCCCCACACAGCTGCCTTAATCAGTCAGGGAGGTTAGTGCTGGGAACCTTCTTTAATGTTGGAAATTGTTATTGGAAAGTGAGGCATTGGGAGGAGCTGGCTATAAAATCAGATGGTTTGGGCAAAGTGATTTAGAAGCTCGTGCACAGATTGATCGGCCACAGGGCCGTGCAATCTAAGGTTACCTGGGGGAGTCACTTCACCACTTCTTGAGGGCTTCCAAGTGCCAGATAGAAGTGCATGCCTGGTATGTATATATTGTTTGCTGTTTAGGAACCAGATCTCCTCCTCCTCACTCACTTGTGTTTTGTATTGCTTCTGAATCTCTTTTAAAAGAACCACCTTGCATTTGGCAAGACAGTGTGTTCCCGTTAACTGACCTGACCAGCTTTCTTCTAAACAAGTAACATTTTCCAGGGCAAAGATAATCCGATAATACTAGGGTTGTGTGTGGGGTTGAAATTGGAGAAGCAGCATTTTACTTGTAAACCATTGATAAAGCAAGCAATGAAGTAGCTGTGACCGCAATCATTTCCCTGGTTCCTCTGTCTGTCCACCTCTGCCTTTGGTTAGGTTAAGGTAGATTCCTCCTTGCAGGGCACAGGGCTGGTGGCAAGTTCACTTACACTGAAACAAAGCAGAAGCACTGCCCTTAGGTTTACACATTGAAAGAGAAACTAAGGAAGGAGGTAAAACTAATGGTAGACGAGGGAGTACAGTTTGATAAAGAACTAACAGGCAATGTAAGTGGTATTTTAATTGAAGCAGGGGCAGGTTAATGGTCTTTCCATGGTGGCAGAGGTGCAGCTAACTGGGGTCATTTAGTCCTCAGGCTGCTGTCCATTTCCTTGAAGGGAATTTACACAAATAAATTCCAAATGCGGAAAGCAGGTGCTGTGTAACAGATATAAGTGTTTTCATCTCTTCTTCTTTGCCATAGGATCATTTATAGAGGTATGTTAAAAAGCCTCGCTTCTCTATATATGAGGCTGTTTGAATTGCTTCAGGAAGTTTCAAAGACTCATCCGAGGCCTTACATTAAAGGATTTGCCTTTCCTTCCGAAATATACGAATTTCTGGGGACCACAAATTCAGAGATTGAAATGAAAATGCCCAACAAAACATTTGTATTGAAAAAGGCTGGACCTGGATGGATGACTAGACTTTTCCCAGGAAGCAAGGCTGTATCTCAGTCTCACGCTTCGAGTACAGCTGTGCCTACAAAAGTCAGAAAGAAGGTTTCTGCTCAGAAGACTATTGATATTGGGAAGCCAATTCTGGTAAAAAGAACTAACCAAGGTAAGAGACAATGGTCTCCTTATTTATTTATATTTATTTCACAACATTTAATACACTGCTTGCTTTTAATAAAACTTCCATGCGGTTGACAAAAAAGAGAAAAAACAATATCGGTAGACAATTAAAAACAAATATTTAACTTTTTCTTTTTTTAATGTTTAAAATAATATGCTAAAACAAGATTAAAACACGACAGCTTCTACATGTCTGGTTAGGATTGCCTAAAGAAAATCATTTTTAATCAGGTGCCAAAAGAAGTAAAGTGAAGGTGTCTGGTGACAATAGACAGGGATTTCCTAAGAGTGTGTTGCTACACTATAAGGATGGAATGAGTATTATGTGGGCATCTTGGCCAGGTACTGCTGGGCAACAAGGTGGCAATGAGGAAGAGATGAAGGTTGGGTAGCCAAGTTGGTCTCATTGGGGATTGGCCACCCTCATGTCTGTATTATAGCACGATATGCAACTTATTGTGCTCTAAAACTTGCATCAAGTTGCATGGAAGGTGTCTTCTTAATTTGTTGTTACAACTTATTGCCCACCCTTCATCTTAATTAAGATTAAAACACACAATATTACACAATATTGAAAACTGTTTAAAACAATTTAAAATTACAGAAATAAGGGGAGTCCTTAAAAATATGCATCTCAAGTGTCAAAGGTAGCAGGGTAAAGAGGTGCATCTTCAGCATAATCCTAAAGCTGTATAATGAAAGCACCAGACACACCTCTGGGAAGAAAGTTCCACAAATTAAGTGCTGCCACAGCAAATTCCCTTTCCTGGGCCGCCCTCTCCCCTGAGCTTCTCAGGGTGGTGGAAAAACCAAGAGGGCACCTTCTGCTGATCTTAGCAGCCAAGCAGGTCTGTAAGGAAGGAGGTGATTTTTCAGGTATTCAGCTCCTAAGTCATTTACTGCTTTAAACAGTAACATGAGCACCTTGAATTGGGCTGGAAATGAACTGGCAACCAGTCCGTTGTGCTGCTTGTATGTAATGGGGAGAGATGAAATTGCCTCATGCTCCAAGATGCTCTGGAAATAGCTGACAACTGCATTGTGGAAGAACTCTGATATTCCCTTGGCTTAACTTCAGTAAAATGCTTAGAATATACATTAAGATCCACTGATTGAAGAATAATTTTGTTACAAATAACTCTGCTTAGGATCATAGCCAAGCTGTTATGACATGGCAGCTGTGCCCTTTCTTCCAGATCTTGGGAAGGAGTTTGCGTTTGATGTCAAGAGCTTATGCAAGTTCCCTAACCCTGCACCACGGGAGGTTTGTTTTTTTTCCATTCTGTGTTTCTCTTGAATATGTGCTCCTTTTTTCCTCTTCTGGGCAGAAAATATTACTCTGTGACTTTCTGCCATGGCATTAATTTGCTTCAAGAGGTGCACCTTTCAATATAGGTCCTTGTCAAAATGTAGCTTTTACATGGTGAACATGCAGATCTGGATTGTACAGTGCTGTAAATATATACTGTACAGAGCAAAAGTGTATGCAAGGTAATTGTTTGTTTTGGAATTTGCCATGAATATGTATAATTCCATTTGTCCACCTCTTTTGCAGATGGGAGGAACTAACATAGTGATGCTATGCAAGCTTAATGAAAGCCAATTCCACTGAAAGCTTTAGAACTTCAGCGGCTAGAATCTGAATAATTTCTCTGGGAGGGTCATGGCTCAGTAGCTGACCATATCCTTGCAGTTGACCAGAAGTTCCAAGGTTTCTCACAGCCTCACTATTAATGATATTTTAGATTTGAATGATCTCTGCCTGGAGCCTAGCTGAATTGTTGCTCATCAAAATAGAAAGCACTGTACAGGGCCATACCTAATATGTTTAAAACAACAGCTTTGAACAGCAGATGCGCCAAGAAACAATTTTTGTTATGTATTGCAAGGAGCCACTGTTCAAGAAACACAATTATAAAGGCCATATGAACTTCAAAGTAGCAAAACATTGGGGGGGTGTATCCTGGTCAGCATGTAGGGCCAAAGATAACCACTGACTTAAAAGAATATTTAACATTTCTCCTTTACTAATGTCCTTCCATTTTATTTCAGAATACAAAAGTCACAGTGAAGTTTCCTGGGTCAAAAAAGAGAACTACATTGGTTTCTTCTAAATCACTGAGGTCCCAGCATCTTAAATCTTTTGTCTCCAAATTTCAAGAAGCATGCACCTTCAGAGAACTGTCTGACACACTCAGAACAACTGTTCTGTGGTGCAAAAGCAATAAACTTGGGCCACAGGCTTTTTTCTTGGGAATGAAACTTTTGAAAAGTAGGCGGTTACAGCATGTGGAAACACAGGGTTGCAGGTTTGTATAAATGGCAGTGCTGGATTTCTCTGAGGTAGCAATTGCAGAAGACTATTCTGTGCTTACTATCTTCCTTCCCTGATCTTTCAGCTGTTCCTTTCCTTCTCAGCTCATAAGAAGGCTGCAATAAATGTGGGAAATTATATAAGGTGCAGATAACTGCAGGATAGATCACTGCCACAGCAGTTATCTGTGATTTGGCACTGTTAGAAGCATAATGCAAAGTGTGCTATGTTGGTTTCCCCTAAACTGCTTGCAGTCTATGCCTACCTAGAACTATTATTCTGTTCATAGATCTGTATATTAAATAAGCTAAGACTGATGGGTTTTTATAAGAATATAACTTTACCTTGGGATTGTGGCAGTGAAGGAAGGTATATTCCTGGTCTCCACCACTAGCCGTGAGACCAAGGTGGGGGGAAACTTTGACTCACAGAAGGAACATCATGCTTACTTTCCTCTTTACTTCCCATTCTTTTTTTTTTCCTTTCTCCTTTTGTATTGGACCGCGCCTGCCCACAGGCACACAAACCTACACTTTTTAAAGAATTATACACTTGTAAGTGCCTTACCTGTCCAACCTATGGACAGTAAATTTATTACTTAATAACATTCATAATGTGGTAGTTACTCTTTCTCAGTCTGATATTTAAAATAAAACTAAATAGGCAGGTAGAAACATATTTTGGGGGCCATGGTGCCAGTCCAGGCTGCAATTTATTTTAGATTTTGATAATGGACAAAGCTGTTCCAGATGAGCAGACTAGCTTGTGCAAAAGATCCTTGGTTATGCAAAATAATCTACTTGTGCTGTAATGAAGAAAATCCCTCTTAATTGTCAGCTTACTTGGCATTAAACTTTAGAGTGATTACTTTTGAGTAGACACAGCAAGAATTTCACTTGTTAAAGTTGCTAAAATTTATCTTTGCATTCCAGCTTGCAACGGAAACTTGGCTGCATTAAAGCTACTCTCTGTAAGTATCTCACGCTTTCAAGCTGCAGAGTGAGACCCAGCCAAAGACTTAACGCGCATTCCCATCCACAAAGACAGATGAAACGCTCAAGGAAATCAAGATGTGTTTCAAGCAGTGCACCATCTTGCATTGTTCCCATACAAAGAGACACTTCTATCCATTTGAAGAGCAGTAGATATCTTCCTCAGTGCTCTAGCTCCTTGTCTCCAGTTTGGGATGCTGACAACGGTGGTACTACCTACAGTGTTGATAAGCAATCACATGGCCATCCTTCTGACCTTGTGGGGCTTGGAAGAAAAACTTCCCATAAACAGAAAGAAGCCACAGAGAATGAAGATGATATTGATGACATTTTTAAAGTAATAGGCCTATAGCATTCTGTTCCATTAAACTAATTTAAACTGTTCACTGAGTCTGTGTTAAGAGAAGATGGGTGTTACCTAAACAGAATGCATCAAAAACACTGCTTCCTGATTTGAAGTTTTTTGCAAGCATTATCATTACATATGGTTGACACTTTAATTGCTGTTAAGTGGCAGACTAACAGCAAAACTCAGCTTTTGTTTATAAGCAGCAGCATGCATTTAGATGCTTTGCTACATTTTGTACATGGACTGCACTCTCATTCCCCAGGGTGAATGTCTAGTGAAAATGCAACACCTTTAGGGGGAAAATTGTAGGGTCCTACAAACCCATCCACAATGGTAGGACTATGTTCACTTTGTAGCCAGAATGCTGGCTGATGGGTGGGAAGCAGAATACCAGGACAATAAGAAATGCACATGCAACCTGAGCAACATTGCACTGCAACATTTGCTTGTATCAGCTGTTTCTCAGTCTTAGCACTCCTTAGAATATGCTGAGACAGAACATCAACTACATGCTATTTAAACTCAAAGCAGGTAGAAGCAGACCAATACTCAAAACTATTTGGTAACTAAAAATTGCTGTCAACTCAGTTTCTGCTCAGGTCGTTGTGTTTAGCTACTGCAGTGCATAGAGTTAATACTTTTTTTAAAAGCAAAAGTGATGCTGGTGTTGGTGTGCCTGCTTATGACTACCCCACATGTGTCCAAAGGGGTTAATTCATGTTAACGTAGTCAAAAGCTGAGGCAGGCTTCAAAAATTGTATTGACCCTTTCAGAAAAGTACAGGAATCATCTTGGTTTCTCCCATTACAAGAGATGCATGGGTGAAAGTGTTTATTCATATTCATTAAGAATTCCAAATCACTAGTATTTACTGTGAAATAACATTAATAGGAAGCAATTCATAAATTGAATCAGTTATACAATGTGTATCTATACAGTAACTAAGCAAAACAACAACCCTCAAAAAACAAAACAATTATTCCAGTTACAAAGTTCCCCCTGTGAATTAACATTTACAAAACAAAGTGTTGGTTTGTCTTCTAGTAGCGGCAATATCCAAACATGTTAGCACCTGTTCTGGGCCATCCTTCCTCAGCTGAAAAAAAAAAGTACAAATACAGTGTTTCCTCCACTTACTCAGAGAAACAAACAACACTGCCTATAATATATGCCTCAACTGCCAAACTGCAAGTAGCTCTGATCTCTCGACATATGTACAGTGGTGTGTTTTCCAATTTTCACAGAACCTAAAAGCCACTGTAGAATTGCCACTTAAGGTATATTTGGGAAGAGAAGGTACCCACCCACCCTCAAACTGCAGAGATTTGTTCCTGTTAGTAAAGTACTACTGTAATTGTCTACCGTGTCATGGGAAATGCAAGCATTTCACTTTGTTTGGTGAATCCTTAAGGACAACACAAGTCAGAAAAATGAAACATACCACCCATCTGCATCACATGACGCCTTAAGATCCATAGTTTGCTTCATCAAATGCCTTTCTGGCCCGTTTCAGTTCTTCATTCATTGTTAACAAGTCTTTCACACGAGCAAACTTCCGTGGGTCTTTACGGATCAGGAAGACAATATCTTCAACCTGTACTCGACCCTGCCGTCCAATTGACATTGCTTTGTGGGTCTATTGGTAGGAAAGAATTGATCAGTCACATACATTCTAAGAGAGGTTCAGTACCTGTACCATGGATTTGACCATGTGTTCTCTTGAATGTTTGGATTTCTTCCCTTGCAGCAACCTGTATCATGAAATGAATTGTTGTAAACAGCACTAAAACACATCCCTTGTTATGCTTGTAGCATTCTTCTTTTATTCAATTAAAGTGAGCTGATCAATAGTTGCCTTATATACGTCTTCCCTTCAAGGCTCTGCTCTTTGGTTTTCAAGTAACAAACAGCAGCACCAAAAACAAAGCTCATATCTCACAGCATCTGCTTCACCCAATTTGTAATATACAAGCAAACAAGCAAGACCTACCATTTCTGTGATGAATTCTATAACCAAGTCTTCAAGAATATCCACTGACTCTGTGTAAGGATTCTGATCATCTCCAAATCCATACATCATACATCTTACTGTAGAATGAACAAACGCCCACAGTGAGATATGGAATGGAAGCACTCTAGAAAACTTAAGACCTATTCACTATGTTTCTCAATAAGTGTGACTCGGCAGTTATAGTCTTCCAAATTGTTCAAGCAAGCAGAAGCCTACATCTAAGCTTCTCAACTAATTTTTAAGTTGCAAATATTCCCCACTTGGAAGTATATGATGGATGATATAGGGTTCTTAAATCAAAACACTGTCACCCTGTTGATGGCAGTATGCATACTTTTAAGACAATGCCCAATAAGGTGTTTTTTCAATGGAACCTTGATGCTAAGAACTGCAGAAAGCATGTGTAACTCCAATGAAAAGCTGCATGTGGAAAACAAAGAACAAAGGAAACAGGAAACCAGTAATGTCACATCCCGCCTCCCTTTCCCGTGAGAATCCAACAATATCTGGACTGTGGAATGTAAACATAGTCCTGTGACTTGCAAGCAGCTGCTCAGTGAGAAACAGAAACTAACATCAGGCCCCTGGAAGGGACTTTGGACATGCCTGGGCTAATGTGTGCTTCCTAACAGCCACAGAAGAATGCAGCAACAAGGTCGACATACAGATGAAGAATTCTAAATCAAAATCTGAGGGAGAGTTCACATGTACATGTTAATCTCTAGAAAACATCAAGATCAAGTGTTGGAGCATGTATGCATGAAATAATAATTTCAGATCAAATACTTTTTATTCTACCTCACATAATTTCACACAATACATTTTAATGGAAATAGTTCACATATTCATCTATGAATCAAGTGACATCAAATGGCATGCAAAAATGTGTGAATCAGCCCTTAGTCTCAAGCTGGGCATGACGTGAGAGGGTTTCTACTTCTATTTATCCTCCAGTCTTTTCTGGAATTTAACTGTGGTATCAATATTCAAAAAGCGGTTTATGGAGGTGGGAAAGGGGTCCTTTAGAAAGTAGGAAAACGTGAAGAGGTTAAACCTTATAATAACATGAAACACAGGAAGCTGCTTTACACCAAGTAAGATCTTTTAGCTCAGTATTGTCTACACCAGGGGTGGGGAACCTGTGGCCCTTCAGTTGCTGGGAGTCTAAATCCCATCAGCCCCAGCCAGCATGATCAGTGGAGCCCCAACTTACATTCCTTGGAGAACAGCCTTTTCCTTTTCCCCTGTGCACCATCTGGGCCTCCTCCAGCCTCCTCAGTATCTTCTTCAAACTAAAAGGGGGGGGGGAGAAATCCCAAACAAGAATGCAAGAGATTAATAATAATAATAATAATAATAATAATAATTTATTATTTATACCCCGCCCATCTGGCTGGGTTTCCCCAGCCACTCTGGGCGGCTTCCAACAGAATATTGAAATACAATAGTCTATTAAACATTAAAAGCTTCCCTAAATTATAAATTATAAACTAGGCTTTGCTGTTTAGTCGTTTAGTCGTGTCCGACTCTTCGTGGTTCCCATATTTGATTTAAGAACTGAATGACCGAACAGCGAACCTCTGAACACTTGTTAATTTGGCAACATCCTACAAACCAAGAGAAAGTGGCAAGGAAGGGGAAAGTAAAGGGTAAGCGGGTATCAGATTGCAGCCGTAGCCCCCTGCCCTCCTCGCCCCCCTTTCCCCGAAGCCAGCAAGCGCCTTCTCCAGACTCCCACCCCGACCTTGCCTACTCACAGGAGGGTCCTCTTCTTCGTCCGCCATAACTGCAGCCGCCACCTTCCCTTCCAGGCTTCCGCCGGGATAGCAACTCGCGTTCTTATTGGTCGCGTCTACGGGCACTCTTGAGCATGCTCTCTCGGAGCTAATGAAGCTGTAGACCTTGCCCTTTTCCAGTCCCTTCTTTCCGTAGCTCTGATAAACGCGAAATGGGAGTGGGTGGGGGGTTACAAAGTTAGCAGCACGCGTGCGCAGTAGGAGCGACTGAAGTCCCTCGCCCTCTTTGGAAATGGATATGCCGTAATAACCCCATTCAAAGCGCATGAGGAGTTTGCTTCTGGGGCAAGATGGGCAGGGTGTTGGATAAAGCTGAAACATATTAAGCAACCAATTCCCGCCCTTTGTGAGTGGCAACGGACGGTGCAAACAAGGAGCTTCGTGGCACCTTAAAGATGAACGGGTTTGCAGCAGCACAAGTTTAGAGTCCACTTCATCAGTACATTCAGTATTCAAACCCGATATGCTACAGTAAATCTGCTAATCCTTAATGTGCCACAAGACTGTTATCTGTGGTGTCTTTGTAACTTCTGTTTGCTCTCGAATATACAGATTTGAGTAGGAAGGAATAAAAAAGGCAGTGATGGTGATATAAGTAAAAAACAACAACTGCCCTTTTCCCTTATGGGCTACCCAAGAGCTCATATAGAGTCCTTTTGTAGGTTCTCTATCAGTAGGAGAAAATAACAGAGACCAACCAGAGAATATTGAGAAGCAAAGCAGCTAGTAAGCCTGATCTTTATTAACTGTTGCAACAGGGTGCTCCCATACACACAAGAGAGAGGAGGAAGACCCAGAGCCATGCGTTCAAACCCCTATAGACATTTTAAATGGCCCACCCTAGAGTCCAAGACCACCCCCAGAAACATCATACATACATCACAGAAGGGGTGTAGCCCAAGACCACCCCCCAGATACATCACACCTACATCACAGAAAAGGCGGTCTACAACAGAAAACTCAGTGCGTTGTTTATCTCATGTCTGGCAAGTTACCTGATTGCATTATCTGGGTTTTGGCTACTCTTTTGTTATTATAACTACTTAATTCCTGAATCTAGGTCACAGGCTCACACCCTGTTCATATCTTGAATGTGCCCTTAAGACAGGATTTGTGAGGACAGGATTTGTGAGGAAAGAGACAATGGGCAGGTTTCCCACTTTGACCTTGCAGACAAGTATTTGAGGTCAATTTGTTCGGGACCTAATCTGTGGGGTTTCAGACATGTGGTTTATATGTACAGTTATGAACATTTATTTTTTATATATATGACCTTTAAAATTCTTATAACAGATGGTCCTGAAGCAGCTCTCCAGTGCAACAGCAGCTCCTTACTGTTTCCATTCCAGGATGCTGCTTGCCAGCTAGCAACCAACCCACAGGCATTAAGCATTTATTGACATCAGTTTGCTATAGTGTGAGAGAGATACGTGCTCAGAGCTCAGTTTCTTGTTAAGCTCAAGCAGAGGGAATGGTGCCTTGCCCCACTACTGGGGCTAAATCAGCATAGCAAAAGTAGGGTGATTTATGTAAGCATTTGTCAGGAGTAACTGGGGAGCAGCCACTCTGCTTATCTTAATTTTTTATGCAAATATTTATGCCACTGGGCTCATTTCCCTCCCTCCTGCATAATCATGTACCAAAATACTTGCTAACTGAGGGAAACACTTCATGAAGGGGACACTAGTCCGGTCAATTTAAGATTGTAATAAATCTGTGACTTAATTAAAATGAAGTGGCAGCTGGGCCATTTAACATGTGGTGAGATAAAGCCACATAAATGCTTGAACAGTGTTGGCGATCAACTGCTGAGTTGAACTTGCACTTATTTGTGAGCTGATCCATGCCTGTTAGGGTTCCATTATATGCTTTCATCAAGTTTCTCTATCTGGACTAAAGAGAAACACATATTGCTTCTAAGCATAGACCTTTGCTTCTAAAGCTCTGGTCCAATCAGTCAAGGGTGAGAAAATATGTACACTGTGAAATAATTAGCTGAAGCTGTATAAATAACTTAAATAGCATTTATTATACACAAATTATTCACAAGGCTTGGAAAAAAGAGAAGTGTACAGAGCAATAAATCTTGTCTCTTTTATTGGAAGAACAATGAAGACGAGTCATTAAGATTTGGGAATGAAGTATCATCAAGTGGACAGGGGAAGATTTCCAGTAACGTGTGCTATAAAGCATCTTAGCACATGGATTCCAAAGCAATACAAAGAACTGTAGAAAAAATGAGAAAATGTTATTTGATGAGAGTGCAGCATTTGCATTACATGTGCAGTTCTATTTCTGACTGGGTAAGAACCCCTTTTCAAGTTTTACCTGACAGGAAAGAGTTGAGGAAAGCACACTTGTGTCTTTTTGTTAACAAAGTCTTGAATCTGTATCACATTTCTTGTCATCACTCCTTTTGATGCTTTGTCAATTTTAGTCAATACAATCTGCAAAAACAACAACACCCCCCCCCCAATATTTTAAACATTGTAGAGCAACTCTTAAAGAAGTCTTGAATTCTTGGTAAAGTCTTTCAAATTTAGCTCTCAGATTAGGTAAGTATGCTAACATTGTTGATGAGTCTTTTTACTCTACAAAACAATTTTAAAAAACCCAAATTGTGTATTTTGTTCTCTTCCAACTTTTCCTCACTCCAGATTTATACTTATGGAGACTTCTGTGTGAGGGGAGAAAAACAGGTTTTCATATCTTCCTTAAGAAAAAGAAAAGGGTGAGGCTTAGTGGGAACATTTTAAGAGTCAATGGATCAGACTAATAACTTAGTACTGTATATTTATTTATTTCAATATTTATATCTTCTTTCAATTTCTAAATCTACAAGACAAATATATTTCATTTCTAAAGGTGAACAGAGATCTCCATATCTTGTTAATCTTCCAGTATAATGTTTTGGATTACTATTTTATGTTGGATCCAGAGGATCTATGTTAGGGCTAAGCAACCTTGTTAGGACTGAGGGCAAGGTCAGAAACCTTTATATTTTCAAATTCACCTTCACAAACATGAAAGCTAAAACAGTATACAGTATTTAAATAACAGCTAGGAATCTAGGATTCTAACAAGTATCAGTGCACACATAGTGAAACTTGGGGTTTTAATAGCATACCTTCAGTACATGATAAAGCTGCTTCAGTTTTTAATCACCTATGATCATAATTCATAAAAATCTTGCCTGTGTTATTATTTTTTCAACACAGGCTTTTAAAATCTCCTAGTCAAGTCTAATAGTTTCTACTTGCAAGTCATTTTTCAAACCATTATTCAACTAATAATAACAAAAAAAAGGACACTAATATTAACTGGACAAATGTATAACTTTGGCGGAATGGTGAATGGCATCCAGTGTTGTCCATGCACCTGCAATAATGGCTTCCTCTTCCTTTCCTTCATCCTGGAGCCTCCAAAGATGCCTAAAACCTGAATTGGGGACCCTGATGAGCAGATTGGAGAAGTGTCACACGGGGCTACAGGAAAGAGGAAAAAAGAAGAGAAGCCCCATTGCACTTGCAGAAGTCTGCTTACACGGCAATGAATACTTCCTTGTTTCTGCTACATGCCTTTTTACTCCTGCTAGTTCAATATATTGACTGCTGACTGCCTTCATTTTTAAACAAAAATCACAACTCACAACATAAGGGATCCCAAATTCTTCCAACATTTCTATAGCAACTTTGTCCGTTTCCTGAATTCCGACCAGGCCGTCCACTAATAAGAATGTCCGTTTCAGACTAGAAAACATAAAACCACAGCTCACAACTGTGCTTTGCAGCAATATATATCCTTTATCTGCAAATCCTAAATCTAGCCCAGGCAACAATTATACAATTGTTCATCCTTTTCTACCTGCTGGGATGATACAGATGACCACACTACCGTTGGGTGAATGAGCTTATTCTAGGGCAGTTTGGTCATTTGTATGGACTCCAATACATCCTATGCTACAAAGCAGGCAATCAGTACTTACAACAACAATTTTGGGTGACCTCTTTTTGCACAGGGCTTTGTGGAAAGATTTGCAAGTGCCTCCAATCAGCGGTGTATTTCGCCAAGTTGGGGGTCTACCTGCCCTACACCTGATGCATATAAAACAGCCTCATGGGCCAAATGGGAAGGCTCAGTGGGCCTGCTTAGACTTGAAGGCCAGAGGTTCTTCACCACTGCTGTAAAGAATGCTGTAAGACTATGTTAAAATAATATTTACAAGTACTGTGATTGGCTCAAGTTTAAATAGACACTGCATCTAAAAGCTATTTCACATGCCTTAGTTAGTCTAAGACACTTCCCCATATTGTTATAAAATGGATTGTCTTTAAAATAATATTTTTTAACCTAAATTATTTCCCCACATAATCCTGTAGAAAAGACTGAAGTGAAATTTCAAGCTGTTATCTTACTTTGCACGGTGATTTAAATAAGGCTCCACCATCTCTGCAAAATCTTTGGGTGATCTGTAACCATAGCCTGGCATATCCACCAAAGTAAATAAATCCCCCACTTTGAAGAAATTCAGTTTCTTAGTGTGGCCCTGGAGGAAAAAAAAAATGGGAGGGTTAGGGTTGTTTGTTTCATCTTATTTCAAAACTGGGGTGGTTTCTCAGTTAAGATGATGAAATGCCACTGCTCCTCATTTGGCCAGTCTCTGACATGAAAGCATATGTAAGTATCATCGGATGGCTGTGGAAGATTGCTGTTCATACAGAGTATATCGCACAATTTCTCAACACCTGATCATCCAACAAGGGAGAAGAGATCCAAGAGCATCTGGGACAGCAACCACATTGCTGGTATAGAAATACTAATTTCAAACTCACTGTGCTAGGGGAGACATGAAAGCTCTGTCTGAGTACGTAACTTCTTGGTTCTCTCCTTCCAAGCTGGATCCTTTCTACCAGTTACAAACAATGTCACAATATATGTCGCAGAACAGAGGGCTGTATCTGACTAGTCCATTTATTTCAATGGGTCTGCTCTGAGATGCAACCCAGGAACAGCCTGCTTTTAGTTGGGCTCAATTAAATTCCAAAGTCAATGTAATAAAATCTCCGAATGCTACTTACTGGATTTTTTGAAACTCTGACTTCAACATCAGGGGACAATGAAAACAGAGCCTTTATTAAGGAGGATTTTCCAACATTGCTTCTTCCTAAAAAGCAAACCTGTGGGAAGAAGTTAGTTATTTCACATTTATCTTTCTCATCCAATGACATGTATTAAAGCAAGGAGTCGTACATCTATTCTCTCTGTTGTTACCCTGACCAAAGAGCACAGTTCAACAGATAGGCCCAGTTACAGCAAATAATACATTTCTCCAGAGAATATGGATTTCTTGCTACAACTCAATTCGCTTTTGGATCAAATAACTCTCAAGATCTACAAAATGTGAGGACAACTAAAAGAAAAGGGAGTCCTCAGAGTCCTCAGTTCTTCATGGACAAGATTTTAGCAGTCCCATTTAGGAGAATTAGTATGAGGAATGCATGCCACTTTGAAAGGTTCCTTGGCTTTTCCAGAAGTTTGCATCTACAGAGGAATAATGTGGGAGAGCAACCTGAAATTCTGCTACTGGAATTATGAAATTAGGAAAGTTGCCTTTATTTGGCTTGTCAACTTTGCAGACCAAGTTTGAACATGCTTACTTTAAAGGAAATGCCTGAATGTATTTCTTAATAAATACACTTAGGACTGCAGCTTGTTCCCTAATTCTGAAACTAGCGGGACAATACTGAATATTTATTGATTTTGATGGTATTCACTTTCCCAAGTATGCTTAGGATTACTTAAACAGACATGATTTACATATATTTGGATGCACCTTTTATTCTGATGCGTTCCCCCTCCCCCTTTTTTAAAATGGTACTTTTTTATTTCTTAGCACAGGCGCCTTGGGGAAGCAGTGAGAGTAAGATCAATGTATGTAATGCAAAAGGATGGGAACTAAAGGATGGACCTGGGGATTACAAGGAAGAAGAGGGTGCTGTATTGAGTGAAACTCCCTAATTGGAAGACTGCTCAGATTCCCCCCTAGCTTTAAGGCTAAATCCAGAAGCATGTATCTCAAGAAACACTGGTACAGTCTACACCTGACCACAGCTTGTGCCCCTGAGTAGAGCTTTCTCTTCAGGTTTTGTTACAGAAAAATCATAGTCATACCCCATAGTCAAATTCAACTGGACTTAACTGTCCAGGGGTCCTTACCTTTTTATCTTTTACAGAAAAGTCAACACCTCATTTAAAAGATACCAATTTCCCACACTGCTTTGAATTATGGTGCTGGAGGAGACTCTTGAGAGTCCCATGGACTGCAAGAAGATCAAACCTATCCATTCTTAAGGAAATCAGCCCTGAGTGCTCACTGGAAGGACAGATTGTGAAGCTGAGGCTCCAATACTTTGGCCACCTCATGAGAAGAGAAGACTCCCTGGAAAAGACCCTGATGTTGGGAAAGATGGAGAAGGGGACAAGGAGAAGGGGACGACAGAGGACGAGATAGTTGGACAGTGTTCTTGAAGCTACCAGCATGAGTTTGACTAAACTGTGGGAGGCAGTGGAAGACAGGAGTGCCTGGCGTGCTCTGGTCCATGGGGTCACGAAGAGTCGGAAACGACTAAACGACTGAACAACAACAACAACAACAATTTCCCACACATAGTGACCTAGCATGGCTAGACAGTTATCAGTTATATTTTGTTGGAAGCTGACAAGCGTGGCTGGGGCAACCCAGTCAGATGGGTGGCATTATATTATTATTATTATTATTATTATTATTATTATTATTATTATTTTAACATCATTGCCACTGCAAACTTGCTGCTTTGGGCAAACAGCTGCATGTACGAAACTCTCCATCATAAGAACCAGAAACTTTGCTTTGACAACTGAATTCAAGGCCATATTCTGCAATCAAAGCAAAGTACATTTATACAACCCATAGCTTTAGCAACTCCCCTTCCTCCCCACCCCACCCCATGACACTTCAAACAATGCAATTGGTTCTTCTTTTCCCATAAGCACTCACATGGCAACTGAAGTTGCTCCTAAGGATAAAAATTGCATTTCATTGACCTCACCTCAGGCTGTGACAATTGGGGAGCGTGATCCATCCGGACAGCTGAAGTGAAATAATCAATGGGGTGCCACCGTGTTGAAATGAAAAACGCCTCTGCTTTGTTGATTTCATTGTGGTTAGGATTGAAAATCTGGAAGGATGACGTGTCCACGTTAGAGGTCAGGTATCTTGCCATTTCTTGGAGAGGGAACGCGACTCCAGTGAACTGTTTTTCGTTTAATTGCAAGACTTCTGAAAACGAAGCATACTTTATGGGGCTGCTTCTGGTTGCAAGATGTCTCCTCAGCAGGTAGCTAATTGTTAGAAGTCTTCTTGGTTTTGCTTTCTGGAGCACCATTGTGCCTGGATTTTCAACAGCCACACAATCAACTCAGGTCCATCATATTTTTAAAAACAAAAACTTCTGTTGTAGATTCTTGAGTTCTGACTGCTGTTTTAAAGAGAAATAAGAGGAGGATTTAAGTTATTGTAGCAATTGCCAAAAACACCACCAACAACATACAAATGCAAATTCATCCCTCAGTGCATTAAACCACTGCTTTCCTTCAAGACTTTCAGCACAGGTGCCAGACAGAACAATATACAGTGGTACCTCAGGTTAAGTACTTAATTCGTTCCGGAGGTCCGTTCTTTACCTGAAACTGTTCTTAACCTGAAGCACCACTTTAGCTAATGGGGCCTCCTGCTGCCGCCGTGCCGCCAGAGCACGATTTCTGTTCTTGTCCTGAAGCAAAGTTCTTAACCTGAAGCACTATTTCTGGGTTAGCGGAGTCTGTAACCTGAAGCGTATGCAACCTGAAGCGTACCGTATGTAACCCAAGGTACCACTGTACACATAGTGCAATCCTCCACATTTCTGCTCAAAACTAAAAATGCAATCCTTTGCATATGTGTTCAGAAGTAACTCCCTCCAAGTTCAGCTGCACTTATTCCCAGGTACATGGGACTACACCCTAAGAAGAAAATTGATATAGAAACAGGGCCAGCACTGGAAAATTAAATATTCCATACGCCCCACCCCCCATCAAAAATCCACAAATTGGTGAGAGACAACATTTTCATGGATGTCCATTAAAGCATACATGTAAAGTTGACATGCATTTCAATATGTATTTTTATAACATATATATTTTCAACTGCTGATTTTATTTATACTTTGGGTGGGGAGGGAAATAGGTCAGCTTGCTTTTGACTTCAGACTTTTATTGGTAGCTGTAATGTTTATTTTATGTAAACCACTTAAGAGCTGGAATGGACTCTCTTGGAAGATGGACTCTCCTTCCTTGGGAGGTTTTTAATAAATAATAATACTACTACTAATAATAATAATAATAATAATTTATACCCCACCCATCTGGCTGGGTTTCCCCAGCTACTCTGGGCGGCTTCCAACAAAATATTAAAATACAATAATCTGTTAAACATTAAAAGCTTCACTAAACAGGGTTGCCTTCAAATGTCTTCTAAAAGTCTGGTAGTTTAAGCAGAGGTTGGCTAACCATCTGCCATAGATCCTTTAGTTGTGATTCCTGCAATGGACTAGATTACTCTTGGGGTCGAATCCTCTCGAGAGAGAGGGAACCTTTTTCTCTGAAGCAATGATGACCTGGACCAGAATCGATCAAATTTGGATTACTAGTGGGTTGGCTCCAAAGATTAAAAAAGTGGAAATCTGCCCAAAGACCTGCTCCGACCATAACGCCGTGAAGATGGAAATGAAACTTACAACAACTGGTCAATTCAGATGGAGGATGAATGACACCCTGTTTCGAGATGAGGAGATCCACAGAAAGGCCCAAAAACTTTAAAGGACTATTTTGAAATAAATCTAAAAACTGATGTAGAAAAAAGAGTGATCTGGGACGCAAGCAAAGCAGTGATGCGAGGATTTCTAATTCAACAAAATTCAGTAAAAAAGAGAAAGCAAAATGAGAAGAAGGATAAGATCTTGGAAAAGATAAAAGAAGGAGAGAAGAAATTGAGATCAAAACCAAAGTCCCAGGAGATTTTGAGAGAGATTAAGTTATATCAGACACAATACATGGAATTGATGAATCAAGAGATTGAATGGAAGATAAAACAAATGAGACAAAAGACATTTGAATCTGCAGATAAATGTGGTAAACTTCTGGCTTGGCAATTGAAGAAAAGGCAGAAACTAAACACAGTTACAAGCCTAGAAGTGGATGGAAAGAATATAACTAAACCTAACGAGATAAGAAATTGTTTTTTGAGTTATTTTAAAAAAATTATATTCACAAGGACCACAGAAGGAGGAGGATATAGAAGAATTTCTTAAAAAGTATGGACTACAAAAAATCTCTCACCAAAGTAAGGTGGATCTAAATCAGAGAATAACAGATCAAGAGATAGAGGGTGCCATTCAAAACATGCAACTGGGCAAATCTCCAGGACCAGATGGATTGACTTCCAGATATTATAAGGCTTTGAAGGAATGGTTGGTACAACCATTAAAGGAAGTCTGTAATGAGATCTTAGAGGGGAAAAGGGCACCAGAATCGTGGAAAGAAGCGTACATTACACTCATACCAAAGACAGAGATTGAAAAGAATCAACTTAAGAACTACCGCCCAATATCATTACTTAATGTGGATTACAAAATCTTTGCAGACATTTTGGCAAAAAGATTGAAAAGAGTGTTGATGGAGAAGATTCATAAGGACCAAGCAGGCTTTCTCCCTAAAAGACATTTATCAGACAATGTGAGGAACATAATAGACATTTTGGAATTATTAGAGGTGAATATAAACACTAAAGCAGTTCTGATCTTTGTAGATGCGGAGAAAGCCTTTGACAATATTTCTTGGAGTTTTATGAAAAAGAATCTTCATGGGATGGGGGTAGGCCAAGGATTCGAGAATGGTATGGGTGCCATATACACTGAACAAAAAGCTAAATTGATTGTAAATAATGTGATAACTGAAGAATTTAAAATAGAAAAAGGGACACGACAGGGGTGCCCTATCTCCCCATTACTTTTTATTTCTGTTCTGGAGGTGTTGCTAAATATGATTAGAGATGACCAGCAGGTTAAAGGTGTACAGGTCGGAGCTAAACATTACAAGTTAAGGGCCTTTGCAGATGATTTAGTACTTACTTTACAAGAGCCAGACACTAGTACAAAAAGGGTGTTGGAGCTAATCCAAGAATTTGGCCAGGTAGCTGGATTTAAATTGAATAAACAAAAGACTAAAGTCTTGGAAAAAATTTAACAGCCATGGAAAGGGAGAAGTTTCAGAATGAAACAGGTTTGACAGTGGTAAAGAAGGTGAAATACCTAGGGGTCTATTTGACATCTAAAAATTTGAACCTGTATAAAGACAATTATGAAAAATGTTGGTCGGAAATTAAAAAGATCTAGAAATATGGTCAAATTTGAAATTGTCAATGTTAGGCCGAATTGCAGTTATTAAGATGAATGTATTGCCCAGAATGTTATTCTTGTTTCAAACATTACAAATTCTAGACAAGATAGACTGTTTTAAGAGGTGGCAGAAGGATATTTCGAAATTTGTCTGGCAGGGCAAAAACCCAGAATAAAATTTAAAATACTGACGGATGCAAAAGAAAGAGGGGGTTTGCCCTGCCGGACTTAAAACTGTATTATGAAGCAGCAACTTTTTGCTGGCTGAAAGAATGGATGCTCCTCGAGAATACAGACATCTTGGACTTAGAAGGTTTTAACAATACATTTGGTTGGCATGCATATTTATGGTATGATAAAATCAAGGTGCATAGGGCCTTTAAAAATCATATTGTCAGGAAAGCATTATATAATGTTTGGATAAGATATAAAGATTTGGTGGAAAGTAAGACTCCTAGATGGTTGTCACCTTTGGAAGCCACGGCGTTGAAAAAGCTTAATATGGAAGCCGAATGGCTAAAGTATCGGGAAATTTTGGAACAAGATGGAGATAAGTTAAAGCTACAGAGCTATGAGAAATTGAAACCCAAAGTACGAGATTGGCTCCATTATTATCAAATAATGGAGGTGTATAAACAAGACAGGAAAATTGGCTTCCAGGTGGAGAAATCAAAATTAGAAACTGAACTGTTAGAACCCAATACTAAGAACTTGTCTAGAATGTATAATTTGCTGCTGAAATGGAATACACAAGATGAAACAGTTAAATCAGCTATGATTAAGTGGGCACAGGACATTGGTCATAACATTATGTTTGCTGACTGGGAATGGTTGTGGAACACCGGTATAAAATTTACGGCATGTAATGCCATAAAGGAAAATATTATGAAAATGATCTATAGGTGGTACATGACTCCAGTCAAGCTAGCAAAAATTTATCATTTGCCTGATAATAAGTGTTGGAAGTGTAAAGAAACTGAAGGTACTTTTTATCACCTTTGGTGGACGTGCCCAAAGATTAAGGCTTTCTGGGAAATGATATATAATGAATTAAAAAGGTACTTAAATGTACTTTCCTGAAGAAACCAGAGGCCTTTCTCTTGGGCATTGCCGGCCAATTGGTATCAAAGAAAGACAGAACTTTTTTTATGTATGCTACGACAGCAGCAAGAATACTCATCGCAAAGTATTGGAAGACAGAAGAACTACCCACCTTGGAAGAGTGGCAGATGAAGGTTATAGATTATATGACATTGGCGGAGATGACTGGCAGAATCCGTGAGCAGGGGAAAGAGACGGTGGAAGAAGATTGGAAGAAATTTAAAATCTATCTAAAGAACTATCATAAAATTGAGGAATGCTAAAATGTCGAGGTTTGGAGAAAGAAAAGGAGATTACAGCGATATAAGATTAAGTTGAAGAAAAAAAAAATAAGAAAAATATATTTGATAAAATTATTTAGAATTTGCTGAAATAATTCTGGGAATTGGGATGTAGGAAGGGGAGGTTTGGGGGAGTCCGAGAAGAGAGGGTTATGAAAAAAAGGTTAGGAAACTATACATGTTTGTATGTCTTTTTATTTGTTTGTATTGTATAAAACTTGTTTGTAAAATCAATAAAAAATTATTTAAAAAAAAATAAAAAAAAAGATTACTCTTGGGGTCCTTTCCACCTCTACGTTTCTACTATTCCGTTTCCGCAATTAGGCAATACTGAGTACACAATTCTGTTCATTTAATAAATAAAAAGGGGCCATTTCAAGCCAATGGAGAAAGGAGCCCTCGGTTGAAACCGATCATTTACCTGCTGACTCCAAAGTTGGCACCCATTCGCTCCAGTGGCGCATCTTCCAAAATAAGTGCTCACCCGCCAACCCGACAGCAGCCATGGGAAGCTGCGCCCGGAGACTCACGCTTTTTTCTCCGCACTCTGAATACCTAGAGCCACAACTGCTGCTTCCCCCACTTACCTGGGTATATAAGCCCCACTGCATTCAGCAGGACTTACTTCCAAGCAGACATGCTTAGTTAGGGCTTGCAATCTACGCCAAGGAGCGTAGATCCGCCGGGGTCTTTAACCCGGAAGCCAGGACGATCGCTCCGCCTCCTTCCCGGTCTAAAGAACCGCAGATAGTTAAGTCACTTGTAGGGTAAGCTTCTCTGAGTTGCTTGTAGATCTCCCGTTCGTCTGCTGCTTGCAACGGGGCGAGGAGTCAGTGTAAGGCTGCTTTGCAAGCGCGACAACCAAGTCAAACGCTCAGCCTCAGGGCTGCTCCCTTCGCTTTTAGGAGGGATCACTGCGGACCAGATCGGCGATCGCAAGGCAATGCGGTCGCTGCGGCTTCAAAACTCTTTTTTCAATAGCTCACCCTTTCCACAGAGTCAGAATGCCTGCATTTGCTCCTACTTGGTGCCTGCGTGTATTGAGAAAGGGAGGGAGGCAAGACGAGGCAATGCTGCCAAATCACAGTCCGGCCTGGGGGGGGGGGGGGGGACCTGGATTTCCTCCAAGATGGAGAGAATCGCTTTCATTCCCGCTGTTGAGAAAGAGGAGCACGTGGCGTCAGAGCCGCTGTCTGTACATACAGGAATTGTACATTCCTGCCCACACAGGAATCTTACTTGGAATAGGCTTTGTTGAACACCTGAGGCTTACTTCTGAGTAAACATGTTTTGAGCTGCTCTGACTGCTAGGTCTGCAAAAGGGCCACTCAGACTAGACGTTCTCCTTGGGGATGGGGACATAGCTGTCAACGTTTTCCCCTTTTTAAGGGAAAGTCCCTTATTCTGAATAGGATTCCTCGCAAGAAAAGGGAAAAGTTGACAGCTATGGATGGGGGGCACCATCATTCTGCCCCCCCTTCATTCTCATGCAGCACTTAAAAGTGCCCTGCGTTTATTTTAGTTTCTGAGGGTTTCGGAGCCTGCTGCCCCATGGTGCTGGGCAGGAGTGCCAGCTTTGCCCCCGGGGCCGTGGGTGCCATGCAGTGTGCATGGTCCTGTCACTGAAATTTGCGGGTGCCCAGCCCCTTCATGGGGAATTTGGTGGGTGCTTGGGCACCCAGGGCCCCAGGGAGTTGGTACCTATGGGGCTGGAGTAGAAGAAAATGGTGAGAAGAGTAGGGTCAGGACCAGAGCTGGCCCAGGATATTTTGGCACCTGAGGTAGACCCCAAAACTGTGCTTCCCACCCTGCTATGGAAGAAGGGCTAAGGGAAGATCTACATCAGAAACAAGGGGGGAAGAAAGCTTGACATTTATATGCTGATATTAATATTTTATACTATTCTAATGATTGTTGATGTTACTTTTTTGATGTAGGTTGCCTATTTTAAAGTTATGTTTTATTATAACATTTTTGTATTGCATTAGATTATTATAAGATGTACATTTTTTTGTTTCTTCAGCTTGTAAAACCGCCTTGAGTATTGTAAGATAGAAAGATGGTATGATGATGACATAGGGATCTGTTGTCTCAGTGAATCCTGCCACCTGAGGAAGGCACCTTGCCTCATGGGTGGGCTGGCCTTGATCAGGACGGTGTTAGAAGCTGAAACATGGGGAAATTGTAAACCACATTGCTGCTAAGAAATGTGTTGGAGAAACCTGAGGACCATGTTTTTGAAATGAAGCCCCAGCATCAATATAACTTTATAAAACCCTTCAGAGTCAGAACCCATCAGTAACTAACGAACCACTAGAAGCATCCACTGCGTATTATTCGAGATATGTCATGTTTATCTCCAAGCAATAACGATACAACGAGCAGTTCTTGCTTTCACCGCCGGGTGGCAATAAAGGTACAAGAAGAAGCATGTTGCTATAGTCAGTCATTCAAAACTGGGAAGGGGATGAAGTTGAGGACGATATTCGGTCCTGCAACAAAATGTTTCTTGCATGTGGAGCGGGGGTGGGGAGATATTGAAAGCAAGGATCATATTGGCTGCCTCATTTCCAGCTTCCGAACCCCCAGCTTTAGCTGGGATTCCTGCATTGTAGGGGGTTGGGCTAGATGACCCTTGGATCCCTTCCAACTCTCTGATTATATGAAAACACTACTTTCTCAGGAGTTCTCAGGTTACCTAGAGAAAGCCACCCCACCTGAGAGCGACAGCTGTGCTTGTGCTTTATCCCTCCTCCCCTTGTTTTCATGGGACTGCCTGCATTTGCCCACACATAGTTTTTCTTCCCTTTTCTTGTCCACAAAGCTTTTTTGAACTTTATGGACTTCTGCAAATCTTGGACTTGCATGCAGATACCTTGTGCATGGCTGGTGCTGTTTGGCTATGTAAGTATCGGCACTCACCCCTGAAGTTGGGAAATAGAGGAAACAAGTAGGGCCATACCACAGAACATTGCTCTGGTGTTCAATACATGAGCCTGTGGCTCGGGTTTAAAAACAACCAAATGTTAGTATCAAACATCTTCTAATCATATGCATTAAAAAAACCCTTTTCAACTTGTTTTTTAGATACATATTTTAGATACATATTGTGTTTCCAGCATTTAAAAGTGCAACCTGACTGCATGTAAGACTTCTGCATGCAGCTGAGTTCTTGATATGGCATGCAAGGAGCTCTGAGAAAGAATGAGGTGGATTGATCTTTGCTGCGACCTGAGGAGTATGGAGCATTTTATTTTCTACTAGGAATCCAAATGAGTGTTGGCTTCACCTCTACCCTGCGTTGTTAACATTGGACTATGTTGCAAGAATGCTATAAGCTAATATTTATCAGTGCAGCCCTCCAAGCCGCAGTAGGTCATATAACAGTGACCTACAGCCATACTCCAAGCCTGCAGTGATGGTTGTGGGGGTCTGATGCCTCTGGACAGCACTGCAGGGTTGTTGTTGTGTGTGGTGTAGTGGTTAAGAGCGGTAGTCTCGTAATCTGGTGAACTGGGTTTGCGTCTCCGCTCCTCCACATGCAGCTGCTGGGTGACCTTGGGCCAGTCACACTTCTCTGAAGTCTCTCAGCCCCACTCACCTCACAGAGTGTTTGTTGTGGGGGAGGAAGGGAAAGGAGAATGTGAGCCGCTTTGAGACTCCATAGGGTAGTGATAAAGCAGGATATCAAATCCAAACTTCTTCTTCTTCTTGTTTACCTGGCCTGTAATATTCAATGTGAATTATACTCTGGGCTGTAATAAGTAACTGCTGCAACCCCTTTGAATCTGCAGTGTGTTTCTGCTGAATGTAGCATTTCCTTTTATAATAATAGTAATAATAAATTTTATTTATACTCCGTCCTCCCCGGCCAGAGCCGGGCTCAGGGAGGCTAACACCAGTAAAATTACAGTAAAAACATAATAGGGGGAAAAAAACTCTTAAAATACTGCTTGTTTACATTGTTTTGCTATTTTTAGGTGTTCTGCTCTGATCTTCTTAAGGGGGTAGATCAGGATACTGTATAAAGAATTCCAAATAAGTATATACGTTAAGAAGTGGTGGGATCTAACTAAAGTTTGCTGAAATGAACATTTCATTTAGGAGCCGCCATCTAGCAGACGTGCAGCAGCTATTTGAGAACAGAAACTCTTACTTGTTGGCATATATTTGTGGAAAGAGGAATTTTGTCACCAGGTCACTGTTGGCATTTATAATGTTTCTCATCGTCGGCCCACACAGCTTCTAACTATGCAGCTGAAGTCATAAGCATGACACTGCAAATATGGAAACTGAGGTTTTTAATAGGGGGAGAAAACCCGCCTAGAAATCATTTGGGAATTTAGACTTTTTCAAACACTCTCTTGTAAAAGTTCCTTCCGTAAGAGTCACCCAAAAAGAAATTCTCATTGAGGCTATCAGCAGAGTGGGTGTTTCTCAGAATAAGCAATACACATTAACTTTTCAAACGCCTCTGCAAAATTTTACCTTGCACAGGAAGCCATGGTAACTGTTGCGTCATAAGCTTCTGCTCCAGTTAAGACTGGGATCTAGCTGCACAGAATTTAGGCTGTAAATTCATTCTTTCTGTTTCTAAAATTCCTCCCTGCTGGCCAGTTGCAGCTTCATCCATTCAATCTTCTGGAAGGTTATGGAGTTTTAAAAATTAAAAGCTAAGATTTCCTTCCTTGTGATTAGGGATGGTGAGACATGTGCTTATCCACATTTATTGTACCTTTCCTCCTCACTTCCCAGGCATGGTTTGTACCTTACTGCTCCATGTCTGAGTGCCCATTTTTTGTGCTCCAGAGCTTTTCCCACCAAAACTTGCTCTTTAAAGCTGAATCAGAGCAGATGGCAATCTGTGGGAAACCTGATTTGCCATTTGCTCCGAGTCAGCTTAAAGAGTGAGTTTTTGCAGGGAAAGCTCCGGGGTGTGTGTGTGTGTGTGCTTGGACATGCCTGCTCTTGATGTATTTTTAATCCTTGTTGGAAGCCACCCAGAGTTGCTGGGGAAACCCAGCCAGATGGGCGGGGTACAAATAATAAATTATTATTATTATTAGTGATGGGGTTATACTCCCTCTGAAGGAGCAAGTATGCAGGGGTACTTATGGGGGGTACTTATGGATCCTTGGCAGTCGCTTGAGGCTCAGTGGGACAGAGTGCCTTCCGTCAGCTTCAGCTATGGCCCAGCAATGCCTCAATCTGGATGGAGATAACCTAACTTCTGTTGTCTATGCTCTGGCAACCTCTAGGTTAGGTTACTGCGACGCATTATACGTAGAGCTGCCTCTGAAGATGGTTCAGAAACGTTAGCTGGTGCAGAATTTGGCAGCCAGGTGAATCAGGGCAAGGTGGTTTGAGCATATTTCACCAATCCTAGCCCAACTGCACTGGCTGCCAATTAGTGTCCAGGCCCAATTCAAAGTACTAGTTTTGACCTATAAAGCCTCAAATGGCTCAGGACTGACTGCAATACTTCAAGGACCCCTCTCTCCATATGAACCGACCCAGACCTTGCAATCATCATCTGAGGCCCTTCTTTGTGTACCTCCTCCATGAGTGGTCCAGAGAGTGGCAACACAAAAACGGTCCTTTTCTGCAGTCGCTCCCCATGTGTGGAATGTTCTCCCCAGGAGGATTTGGCTAGTGCCTTCCTTATATACCTTTAGACACCCAGGGGAAAATGTTCCTCTTCAACCAGGCCTTGGGCTGATTAATATCTCATACCCCTTTTAAATGTCTTTGTGGGAAGGGCTGGAGGGAGGGGGTTATGGGTTTGTGGGTTTTTTGTTCTTGTTTTTATAATGTATTTTGTGCTTTTACATTGTATTCTTATGACGTGAAGTGCCCTGAGATCTATGGATAAAGGGTGGTATACAAATTTAATCAATAATAATAAATTTAAAGTATGCGTACCTGTAGCACAAAAGGTGTGCATAAGCCCTAAGTTTCAAACCTCACCAGAAGCTTTTCTTTTAGGAATACTAGGTGCAGAGATACCCAGGGACCACGGGGAAAAACCTGTTTATGTATGCAACGACAGCTGCCCAAATGACGCTTGCTCAGAAACGGAAAGAAGATACAGTCCCAACCAAGGAAGAATGGCAGATAAAATTAATGGACTATGCTGAAATGGCAAAACTTACTGGAAGAATAAGAAACCAAAAAGAAAGAACTTTTAACAAAGATTGGGGAAAATATGTGGACTAACTGAAAAACTATAGTAAACATTTAAATTAATTAGCAGGATTAATGTAGAACAAGCAGTTAAGTGAATTTGTTAAGGAAACTTTAGATTCTAAATAATAATTTGGCAATGCAGTAAGAAAATTACCACATAAGTAACCACAAAAGGGGGGGAGGAAAGTCAAGTGATGTTATTGGATAGTTTATGCAATTTTAATTATTGTAAAACTGAGAATCGAAATACATTTGTTTTTAAAAGAGAAAAATACGTTTCAAACCTCATCAGCTAGCTAGCTCTTATGCATGAATGGCACTCAGAAAACAGCTGCCATAGAAACAAGATTAGAAAGAACCACATGGTAAACATTTTAAATCTACAAATAGCATCTGTACACATAAGAGGAACTAGCCAGTATTATCCTGACTCTCCTGCCTAGATCTGAGTGGTGTGTGTTAAATGCTGTGCTTGCAATTGAGGTTAATACAGCCACCATGTGATAAGCTTTTTGTGTGTGCAACTACTGCAAAATTATTAGTCACCTATTTCCACCCACACATGCCTCATGACCTTGTAGTCTCACACTGAAACTGGCAATTGGACTATGATCCATATGGTAACTGACCAAAACTCAGTTCCCACTTCTGCACAATTCACTTAGGAATAGAGGAAGGTCCCTGCTTGGGGAGAGGTTCGCCTGATGTTGTATGATACCAGGTGACTGACAGGTGAATGTGATTTGCGCAAAATGATTTTGCAGGCCAAATTTAGACGTCTGGTGGGACTATAACAAGACCCGTGGGCCAGAGTTTCTCCACAACTGACATAAAACAAGACAGATATTTAGAAAATTGACTTTCGATTTTAAATTTTGTATTAATCAACATGCCACACATCCACAATTAAAATAGACCACAGCTGACTCCAGGGCACCTCAGAGTTACTTACATATGTCTTGGGAGATAATGGAAGCGTGTGCCTTTGGGGGTGAAGGTAAACTGTTGGAGAGTTACAGCGCCTGCTGTGGCTGTAGAGACCAGGAGAGTGCCCAGTTATAGGAAAAGTATATTAGCTCTAAAGCAAAGTGTGATTACTGGTCAGAAGAGGATATTGAATGCTAATTACCGTAATTCAAACACTGAATTGTTACCCAACATATGAGTTGGTGGGTGCAAGACGCCCTAAATTATGGATTAAGATAGTGTTAAAATTTAATTGAGGCTTCTGTGTTGAAACTGTGTGTCAGACCCCGGGTTAGGACCTATGCAAGACCCATGTGTATTAAGATGTGTGCTAGACAATTTTAATTTACTGGAATAAGCATGTGTGAAAAAACTAATCAAGCTAGGCAAACTTCATGAACGGTGTATAAGACACTTCCAAATCCTGGAGAATCAACTAGTGTAAAAGCTAGTTAAGAAAAGACTGGTTTCTTTTTGAGATGATAGCCTGGGGATGAGACTCATTAAGACTCAAAGGATCAAGGGAAATCTCATCATGTGAAATCTACAGTTTATCATATGAATCTTCTGCCATGCTGAAGCAAATGCCGTGTATTAACTTTAAAATAAACCTGTGGTTTCTACAGAATCGTGAGTCATTTCATCTGAAGTGAAAATGCTGTTTTTGTCTGTGTGGGCAAATTTTGAACCTTGAACACCCACTAAAATGTGAACGGAGGAACCCACCCCTCAAATTAGCTCCTTAAGTTGTTCCCATATATGTACTTGTATGAATGCCCCATTAGCGCTCATCAACCCTACCAGCAACAAGCACCGGAGAACCTGACGGCAGAAGACATATCACCTTTTTGTGGTGGAAACTACAATATAATTTCTTGATGCATGAGAATGTAGAAAGTGTAAATAGTGGAAGCTGCTAAATCATAATGCAGACAGCTCTTCAGCCCATGAGTTGAATTTTCTTCCATGAAATGGTTTGGCATTATTTTTTAAGTATCATTCACCTCAAACGAAATTTCCTCTGACACGGAAGCTTGATGGAACAACCCTGTTTTTATTTTCTTGAGTTTTACCGTGAGGGCTCGTCTTCCCAAAGAGAGCAGTCCTGTTCCGATAACCACGAGGAAAGTGACTTCATCTGCTTCCTCTGTGTTTGGTTTTTTGACAAGTAAGCACAGGAAACCCTGTACAAGTGGCAAGGCAGAAGGAAGAACCATTCCAACCCAAAGGACCTAATCAGTCTGGAGCACACAGAGCTGCTGTAGAACCTAGGGAAGTAGAAAGTGGAGCAGAGATGCTCTCTGAGATGAAGTTTTTGCATGAAAAGATGCTCGCTGTATTGGTGGTTAAACAGACATCAGAATGGATGTCGTGGTGATATAATTGTGTGCGCCATGGAAGCCAAAAGTGGAATTAATTTTGTTCTGAAGAACTGGAGTGCCTGTGCCCTGCTCACTGTCACCGTGGTGATGGCAACAATGGGTAAGTCTTACTTTTCACTGAAGGTGTTGCCTTTTCTTATAAAGTCTTCGCCTTTCAGTTTCACCCACATTAAAGGATATGTAGCAAAGTGGCTAGGGAACAGGCAGCATGGACCGGATCGTTATCATCTACTTATAATATTTAAACCTCAAGGGCAAATAGCGGCATACATTTCTCAAACCAAATATTTTCAAAGAGGAAGAAAAACCTACTTTGAATAAGCTGGGAGTTGGCCTGAGTATAAATTCCTATCACAGTATTATTTAGCATAGGGATGGGAGACTTGTGGACCTCCAGATATTGCAGGATAATAATAATAATAATAATAATAATAATAATAATAATAATAATAATTTATTTATACCCTGCCCATCTGGCTGGGTTTCCCCAGCCACTCTGGGCGGCTTCCAACAAAACACTAAAATACAATAACCTATTAAACATTAAAAGCTTCCCTAAACAGGGCTGCCTTCAGATGTCTTCTAAAAGTTTGGTAGTTATTTTTCTCTTTGACATCTGGTGGGAGGGCATTCCACAGGGCGGGTGCCACTACTGAGAAGGCCCTCTGACTGGTTCCCTGTAACTTGGCTTCTCGCAGTGAGGGAACTGCCAGAAGGCCCTCGGCACTGGACCTCAGTGTCTGGGCAGAACGATGGAGGTGGAGACGCTCCTTCAGGTCCCATCATCTCAGACCATTGGCTATCCTGGCTGAGGCTGGCTGGGAGTTGGAGCTCAACAGCATTTAGAAGGCAGCAGTTACCCCTGCTCTGCTTTAGCAGAGTATATGTCTGAATTTAATTACGCAAATATGCTCACTTTATAAACAAAGCTATAATGTCTCTCTCTTTTTGAACTCTCTTGGGATTCTCTCTATCACACCTGTTGAAAAGCTTACGACTTTTGCTGGCATCAGTTCCAGCCCATTCATCTCCAGGGCTGTAGGAAGGCTGGTCTGGTGTTTGGAAGACCACTATGTGAAGACTGAATACTTCTCCTCTGGTGAAGGAAAGCAGAAGATGGAACAACTTTGCTGGCTAGAATTGTCAGGGGTTGGTTGGGTGCAGGTAGATTGACTTCACTAAAGTAATGATCAGACCTGTATCCAAAACACCAGTTTTGTGCAGGGACAATCTAACAATTAGAACAGTTTCTATCCCTTCTGTTAATTTTATTATTATTATATTACCATTTATATGCTGCTTATATTTAAACACATTAAAACATAGGTTAAAACATCTCAAATAAACAGCAAATACAACATTCTAAAAAACATAATTAACAACTGAACAGCCTCCTCTCATATCAACATAAACATTATGCATAAAAATCAGCTAGAAAAGTGCAAGGAAAATTCACAGTAAGCAATTGAACAAAATATCCTCTAAAAATCAGGAAGTAAAATATTACAAATGAAAATAAACTAAAAAGTGTCATTTATAAATAATAACTTAAAGATAAATTATGGATTGCATGATGGCAGAACAATTTAAAGTTTTACTTAAGGAAACCTCTTTCTTCCACCCTCTTCGGCCATCTGCAATGGAGAATAAATAGATTCCTACTTACCACAATAGTCGGAGGAGACCGTAGACGAAAGTTCAGTGAAGGTTTACTGAAAAAGGCATTGTCTCCATGGTGTTGAGATGGTGGCCTGTCAGCACATTTTGGAAAACTGCTGAAAAGTCTGTTGCAAAAGGAGAATAAGCTGTAATTTTGGCACGTGTCAAAACAGTCATAAAAATCCCCAGTAAATATAATTTGTGTGTATCAACCTTTAGTTTTCAGAGGTGGACTAAAATGGTCCTTTGGTCTTTCCATTCCTCAAGTAACAAAACTGTGCTTTATCCTTTTAATATACAGTGGTACCTCGGGTTCCATATGCTTCAGGTTACAGACTCCGCTAACCCAGAAATAGTACCTCGGGTTAAGAACTTTGCTTCAGGATGAGAACAGAAATCATGCTCCGGCGGAGCGGCAGCAGCGGGAGGCCCCATTAGCTAAAGTGGTGCTTCAGGTTAAGAACGGACCTCCGGAACGAATTAAGTACTTAACCTGAGGTACCACTGTATTGACTGGAATTAGTAGGTCAAACTGTATTATAAACAAACACATGTAATGATAAAGCAGAAGCTCGTTTTGTTGTTACATGAAAAGCAACTTTGGGAGAGGGCAACTGGAAATGGTGATCCAGTAGGTTCTTAACCCTTACTCTACCCACAGTTCTTTGCTCCAAATCACCTTCCAAAGAGAGTCATCCCAAAGGGTGGTTCAGATACGCATTTGGTCCCATTAAGCACTTGTCCCACAACTATTTTATTTTACAAAATCTACATACCACTTGGTTGTAGTAAAACCTCTAAGTAGTTTGCAATAAATGTTAAGATTATCAATAAAAACAGTTTTAAAATAGCCATTAAAAATATTTGAAAGTTAATTAAAAGTAACACTAAAAAATTAAAATGTGTCAACATCTATGTTTTATTTTGTTTTTATATGTGCTGGAAGCTGCTTAGAGTGAATGGGGAAATCCAGCCAGATGGGTGGAGTATGAATAAAATTATTATTATTATTATTATTATTATTATTAATTATTAATTATTATTATTAATGGATGGACTTGCCTAAACAAAGATATTTCAAGCCGGTGCCAAAGGTGTATCACAAAGGTGCCTGCCTAAATGTCAACAGGCAGGGAGTTCCAAAGTGTAGGTGCTGCCATACTAAAGGATCGATTGCTTACAACTGTAAAATGAATACTGTACAACACTTATTACAGTGTCAAATCTGCAGATTGAAGTGGTTCAGTGAGCACATATGGGGTGAGGCAATCCTGCAAGTAACTGCTTCCAGGCCATTATATACCAATAGTAACACCTTGAACTTGACCCAGTAGCAAATGGGCAACTAGCGCAGATCTCTGAGCAGTGGTGTTATTATATGCAGACAGGGTCTCGTTCTTGTCAGCCACTGTGCTGCAGCATTCTGCACTAACTGCACTGTTTGGGTCAAGTGCAAGGAAGGCACCACGTAGAGTGCACTGCAGTAATCCAGTCTTGAAGCAATCAGTGTCTGAACTATTGTGGCCAAGCTCTCCCAGTCCAGGAATGGCCAAAGCTATTGCACCAGGAACAGCAGGTAAAAAGCACTTCTAGCCACCAAGGCTACCTGGACCTCTAGTGACAAAGCTACATCTAGAAGTACTTCCAGGCTGCCTAACTCCTCCTTCAGGAGGAATGTAGCCCTGCCCAGGTCAGGCAATTGACCATTTTCCTCAGATGTGGGAACCATTCACCCACAGTGCCTCCAAATTTATTGGATTCAAGCTCAGCTTGTTTTCCCTTATCCATCTCACCACTGTGTCCAGGCCCCACACAACTTCCCATTCCGCGTTATGGAGAAATTTTCCTGATTCTCTGTTCCTAATGCCTTCTGCCGAGGTGGTATTTTCAGTAAACAAAGGTCCACCAGACTGCAGTTATGTTTGCTTATAGTATGAATTGGTTCATCCCTCAAATTGCTTTCTAAAAACTCTGGTTCAACATTCACATTAATGGTTTCTCTAGAAGGCACTCATTATTCTCCCACACCCATTTTAGTCTTACAACAAGCTTGTGATGTACATTAAAGGTGATTGGCCCAAGGTAAGCTTCTCAGCTGCGTGGAGAGTTAAACCCGAGTCACCCAAGTCCTGTTCTAGCACTCGGAACCACTACACCAAGACTGGGGAACCTGTGGTCCTCCAGATGTTCTTGAACTTTACTATGAATCAGCCGCTTTTTGCTGGCTGAAAGATTGGCTACTTCTTGAAAACGTGGACATTTTGGATTTAGAAGGTTTTGACAACGTTTTTGGATGGCATGCATATTTATGGTATGATAAAGTTAAAGCGCATAAGGCCTTTAAGAACCATATTGTCAGGAAAGCATTGTTTAATGTTTGGGTGAGATATAAGGACTTGTTGGAAAGTAAAACACCAAGGTGGCTATCACCAATGGAGGCAAAGGCATTGAAAAAACCAATATGGAGACAAACTGGCCAAAATATTGTGAAATTTTAGAACAAGTTGGAGATAAATTAAAATTGCAGAGTTTTGACAAATTAAAAACCAAAGTCAGAGATTGGTTGCATTATTATCAAATAAGGGAGGTTTTTAACTTAGATAAAAAGATTGGCTTCCAGGAGGAAAAATCTAATCTGGAAACGGAATTGTTAGAACCTAAAACTAAAAATTTGTCAAGAATGTATAATTTGCTGCTGAAATGGAATACACAGGATGAAATGGTTAAATCTGTTATGATTAAATGGGCGCAGGATGTTGGGCATAACATTATGTTTGCTGACTGGGAACGGTTATGGACCACAGGTATGAAATTTACGGCTTGTAATGCTTTAAGAGAAAACATAATGAAAATGATTTACAGGTGGTACTTAACCCCAGTCAAGCTAGCAAAAATTTATCACTTGCCTGATAATAAATGTTGGAAATGTAAAGAAAACGAAGGTACTTTCTTTCACCTTTGGTGGACGTGCCGAAAGATCAAGGCATTCTGGGAAATGATATACAATGAATTAAAAAAGGTATTGAAATATACTTTCTTAAAGAAACCAGAGGCCTTCCTCTTGGGCATGGTCGGCCAATTGGTGCGAAGGGAAGATAGAACTTTTTTTATGTATGCGACAGCAGCAGCAAGAATACTCATCGGGAAATATTGGAAGACACAAGAATTGCCTACCCGAGAAGAATGGCAGAGAAAAGTGATAGACTATATGGAACTGGCAGAGATGACTGGAAGAATTCGAGATCAAGAAGAAGGGTTGATGGAACAAGATTGGAAAAAGTTTAAAATATATTTACAGAATCACTGTAACATAAAAGAATGTTAGGAAAGGTTGGAGAAGAAATATTAGACCGTATTGGCAGACAGAGTATAATGGAATTAAGTAAATATAAAGTATAAACTAAAGGATAGAGGAGAATTAAATATTTTTGAATGTTAAAATGTTAAAATAAGTGAATGAAAAGAAGGTTAGAAGGATTTGCTGGAGACACAATTTGAATTAGAATACAAAGCAGAGAAGTGAGAGGAAGTCACGGAAATAAGTAAATGGGAAAACGGTTCGTTAAATTCGAATTCTTTTTTTTCTTGTTATTTTTTATTGTGATTTTTGATTTTGTGTATTTTTTCCTTTTTCCTTTTTTTTCCCTTGTATGGTGTGTATCTTTTGTAAGATGTATGTGACTGATTTTCTTGTTTTGTTTGTTCTTTCTTTTTTGTAATTTTAAAACTTGAATAAATATTCTTAAAAAAAAAAACAGATGTTCTTGAAACCCAGTGCCAATCAGCCCCAGCCCCAGCATGGCCAATGGCAGGGGATGATGGGAGATGTAGTTCAACAAACCCTGGATAACCACCCAGAGACTGCACACACTGGCCCCATGCCACTAAACATGCACACCTAATTGTGCATTCCAGTGAAATGTGAAAATTACAGTGCATGTATCCATTTCCAAAAGAAGATCTTGAATGATTTTGGCAGCCTCTCCAGAGGTTGAGTCTTCTCTTGTGGATAAATTTATATGGTCATTATACTAATAAATCTGGGCTATGTGCCTTGTTTAACAGGTGTTGGTGTCTTATTCACCGGTCTAATCTTTCCCTCGGTTTCTAGAGTAATTACATGGACTGTGTTTATTTATAACACCAACAATAACAACAACCACAACAATTATATGTCATGGTCCTTTTATGGTTTTGTCTTATGACTGTTTTTAGGATCATTCCCAGCAAGAGGGTCCATTCAAAATAAGTCTGAACAGCATCATGCCAACAGTTCAGTCACAGCAATGATGGTGAACAATATTAAACCTCAGCTGGCAGAAGGTAACATTGCACACCTGTATTTATTAATTATAGTAGAGCAGATAACAATGCTATTTTACATAAGTTTAGTTGTTAAGCCCTGGAGAGATTAATGACTAAGCTTGATTTAAAAGGAGAGAGTGCTATATCTAGTATGTGAACACACTACACTATGCTACACCTATAGGGTGGATTTAGAAAAGAATTTTACCAATATTTGACTTTGTTTATCTTTTTTAAATGTTTGGTGAGTGCCTCTTATGCTTTTATATTGCAAACTGCGCTGTGATATTCGACTGAAGGGCAGTATGAAAATGTAATAAATACGGTAATAAAATAAAATAAATTGGATTGCAGAAAAGCTGGAAACAGATGTTTGAAATAAATGAAATTAAAAATTCAGAGCGAATTTGTTCGGTTCATAATTCCCAGCATTTTATTCCAGTTTCAAAATAATTCTCCTTGCGTTTGATAAGTTTACCACTTTCTGCAGATTACAGCAACAGGATTACAGTGTAACAATGACCAGACATATCAGAGGGTGTAGCTCTCATGATACATATCTCTGCTGTTAAGTTACCTTATAGTATATCTTAATACAAGGGTTACACCGCATCAGTGTGTTTAACAACCTTTCATGGTAGTTTCTTTCTAACACATTGGGAAACCGTGTTTTTGTGATTCCTTTTGGATTTTATTAAGGAGTATTTGAGGATTAAAAAAACAGCTTGGTCTCAAATGTAGTCCTCAGATCCAGCTAGGAAAACCTACTGATGGTACTTTTTTTATATATATATCCTTCCAGGCAAATCAAAAACGGATGCAGTGGTTGGCACTGAAGTTATACTGACCTGTCCCCATCAGAGACCTATGATAATGGTATCTTGGAATGCCAACTTAAAGAATGGAACAGTTTGCTATTTATCATACATCAGTGATAGAAATCAAACAGGGGGAAACTGCAGTGAGGATAGCATGTGTTGGTTATCTAGACCAGACAAGGACTCCACCCTTCAGATAAAGTCAGCACAAATATCCAGTGAAGGAATATATAAATGTTCTACAGCAACTGCTGATGGAACATTCAGCCATGAACATAATCTAACCATATTAGGTAAGAAACTCCATGTTCTTTTCCTTACCTATAAATCATAATATGAGACTGCTACATCTATTTTATTGAATCCAAACATTTAAAACTACTTTTAAGCTACTGGCAACCACTGAAAGCATTTTGCAGTAATATTTAAGCACAACAGTGATAATAAAATGTATGCAATAAAAAATAACCTAGAAAATTGGATTAAAAACAAACTATTTCTACTTCTGCTCTTCCTTCTACAGCTGCTGTTACAACTACTACACGTTTATTAATATTTTTTAGTTGTGAACAAAGAACATAGAAATGACATAGTCTTTTCAGACATAGGACTTAAAGCTTCTTCTGTTTCAATCTGCTTTTTCAGTGCCTCTTCTCTGCTTTCTTCTCAGCATGACCAAACATGAATATAGATACCAGTTCCAAAATGCTGAAGTACACAAGTTTGAAAAGGCTGACAAGGGTGTACAAAAGTGAAATGGGAGGGAGGGAATAGAGCTTGGGAAAGGAAGGTTGAATATAGCAATAGACTGTGCAGAAAATGTACGGTAAATTTGTGGTGAGTGAGACTGCATTTTGTTATCCACACCATTAGCAGGATGTGTTCTGAGGGAACTACTGCTCCTAAAATGTCACAAAATCTCCCTTCCCTGTTTTGGTATTAAACCAGCAAAATCCTTCCCCCCCCCCCCGTGTGTGTGTGTGTGTGTGTGTGTGTGTGTTTGTTAACATTTCACCCTTGGTATTTCAGAAGTCTTTGTTTTCTCAATGAAAGTATGACCCTTACTTTCTCCATGATATCCCTGGCCACTACAACTAACCCCAGAGCTTCCTTCAGTACTATCTGCCATTCTTGCTCTCCTCAGATATCCCCTAGTTCTCTCCTATCTGAAGTGAAGCAGAAGGGGTGTGAAACAGCATCACTCAGGCCAATGCCCATCACTCTCAACCCTCCCACATCATACAGTGGAAGGTCACCCAACACATTCCACACCATTGAACACATAGGGAGATCACACAGGATCTTTCTTCAAATACCTGATATTCTGCAGCAGAAGAAAAATTGGCATGGTGTCTGCATTATTCCAGAATACCGGCAGAATAACGTTGACACCATGTGGAACTCTGCAGGAAAATCCAGAGAAAACATGCATTATAGTGCTTTAAAAGCCATATGCCTCAAGTGAGTCACCTCTTCACACACCTGACTGCTCAGCTTCATAAAACTCAGGCTCCCTCCAACTCTCCAAGCAGTCTCTAAAAACAGCATGATGAGAACTGTAGTCTGCACTAGTTCTGAGCTCCATAGACCTTGAGATGGCATCCTGCCACATGAAATATCCTATTATAAAACATGTTTTGTGCTTATCGCACTTCTGCCTGTCTGTCCAAACTACCCATTCAGACTCCTCACGCTCACTATGTAACCATCATAACAAATGTCAAATGGAGAAAAACCTTTACAACTCTATAGTTCCAGTCTGTGCACTCTGCCATTGTTGAAGGACGCTGTCGTAGGATTCCTTATGAAGAGAGAGTTTGGAGGAAATGTACCCAGAGATTTGCCCCACTGATTTGCCCAGTCTATGAGGACTTAACCCTTGTTCAGATACTGTATTTAAATTTCTCAGTTTAGAGATTGATGGGTATCTGACTAACTTTTTATTAGAGGACAGATCCCTCTACACTTCTGAAAAAGTGGCTTGTCTTGCCTTTGGAGTGGCAATTTTACAGAGAAAGGTTTGTAGGAATGATGTCAGATTCTTCAGAGGAGCAAACTCTTATCTGACAGAATGCCTGGTTTTAATAATTATTTTAACTGTGTAATGCATTTTATTCTGTTTTAGGTTTTTTGTTCTTTGTAATGGTTTTGGCTACACAAATTTGCACCACAGTACAGTCTGCTCTCTGGTCTGGTGTGCAGGGATCAGAGGCTGCTCCCTGGATGCCTGCAACTTAAAGTCTGTCACGATGTGCACTTCTGTGCTGGGAAGAGAGGATGATTTTTAAGTCAGACTGGGGATGAGGGGAAGAGGGGACTCCTAACAAATTAGTTTCCAGAATTCTTCAGTGGAAGCTGTTTAAAGTGGTACGCTACAGCTTTCAGTGCCTAGTGCAGATGAGACCTAATCGTCCTCTCTGCCCTGGATGAGTCAGTGGCCAGCCACGCGGAGTCAGACCACGAGTTCTTCCTGCTGTAGTGACTCTGCTCATCACATGGCATAGTGGTCAGCAATTCCTGACAGCATGTATAGGAATATGTTTACTCAACAGGTTTCATAAGGGACTTATTTCTTCCTCAAATGTGTATTTTGGTGCAACATAAGATACCAATAGAATATCATACTCTCCAACATTTCTCTGATGAAAGCAGGGAAGTCCTATTAATTTTATTATTTATACCCCACCCATCTAACTGGGTTGCCCTAGCCACTCTGGGCAGCTTCCAACATATATAAAAACTGCAAGAAGATCAAACCTATCCATTCTGAAGGAAATCAGCCCTGAGTGCTCACTGGAAGGACAGAGCCTGAAGCTGAGGCTCCAATACTTTAGCCACCTCATGAGAAGAGAAGACTCCCTGAAAAAGACCCTGATGTTGGGAAAGATTGAGGGCACAAGGAGAAGGGGACAACAGAGGACGAGATGGCTGGATGGTGTTCTCGAAGCTACCAGCATGCGTTTGACCAAACTGCGGGAGGCAGTGGAAGACAGGAGTGCCTGGCGTGCTCTGGTCCATGGGGTCACGAAGAGTCAGACACGACTAAATGACTAAACAACAACAACACTACATTAAACATTTTTATTTTTAAAAAAACAACTTCCCTATAGAGGGCTGCCTTTAGATGGCTCAGGAGGCAGATAACTCCATACCCTCCAACATTTCTCCAGTGAAAATAGGGACAGCCTAATGAAAAGTGGGACATTCCAGGATCAAATCAGAAACTAGGATGGCTTCTGTAAATCCAGGACTGTGCCTGGAAAAGAGGGACACTTGGAGGGTCTGGAATATGCAACTCTGCTACCTTTTATGTCCATCTTTTTATGCCAGAGGTGGGGAACCAGATGTGCATACCCTCCAACATGCTGCAACGGAAAACACCCATCTTCTGGGGCCACAGGACAGGGGGGCATGAGATACGGCTTTCAGCTGCCTGTGTTAAGTGTGTGTGGTTGTATGTGTGGATGGGTCTGGCCCTGCTCACTGCGGGATCAAGGCACCCCCACTACTCAAATGCAGTTCCTGACAGCTTTACACTGAGTTAATGCTGCCCACAGCTGCCCAAGCACCTTCAATTTTCCGCTTCTAATCTAGAGTAGATTAGAACCCACCACTTTGATACATTTAACTGCCTCATTTATTTGTTCCCTCCAGTACCTCCTGAGGCGTCCCTGATTCATGACGACATCAATGGAACTGCCATTTGCAAGGCAGTTGCAGGGAAACCAGCGGCACAAATCTCATGGTCCCCAGGAGGAGAGTATAACACCAAGAGTGAAAATTTGCTTAATGGCACACAGACTGTCACCAGTATATACAAGGTCAACAACTCTGAGGGGAGCAAAGTAACTTGCTTTGTCTCCCATCCTGCATGGAAGGAGTCCCTCAGTATCTTATTAGGTAACCCTAAGAATCTTTTTCTCTGTTTGTTAATTTGTGGTTTCCACTCTCTGATACGTTTTCCTGAGAGATTTCAGAATCACCCCCTTTTCACACATATTCTTTTGTCAACTAGGACTTCTCTTTTCTCCCACGTTTGCAACTTAGATGAAATCTTGATGGCTGGGTGGTTTGATGTTCTGCTGCATTTTCCAGGTTACATGTCCCATTTATGTGCCACTGATCTAGATTCAACTTGTAATTTACCCTGTTTTATTGTTTTTTCATACACACACACACGCACACACACACATTTTTAATTGAATATTTTTGCAATGGGAACCAAAACAAAACACAGGACACAAACCAGTAGCAAATTACTAAACAAATGTACAGGTGAGGTATGGGATACAAAGTACCTCCCCCACCTTCCTTTTTTCCTTTGTCTTTCTGTATTTTTATCAATTTTAATTTTTCACATCACACATAAGATAACATAACTCAATACATCAAACACTTTGATTAAAACTATCAAATCAAATTCTTACATTTCACTCCCAAAAATCTTTCCACATATTAACATGAGATCTTAGGGGGTTATAAACAAAATCTGCTTGACGCTTATAAAATCCAAAATGGGTGTCACACATTATAGAACAGATGGAGGATGGAATTCCCTTTGGTTGCATGAATCGGACACATCAGCTTTTCAGCCAAGGAGGAAAGATACCACTTATGTAAGAATTTCCAAGAAAATTCCCTTAATTGGGCCAAAAGAGTTTTAAAAGTTCCCCATTTTTCATTAGACATTATTACTTGAAGGTCCATTTCCCAGGGAATTAAATTTTTTTTAAAAAATTATTTTTCTTTATAACATTTTGAGTGCTTTAGCTCAAAAGACAATTCATAATGTTCCTTTTCAGTATTTTTATCAATGTTCTTATGGTATACCACTCTGGATGCATTTGTGTCTAGAAAAATGGGATAAAAATAAATTGAAATAAAAATCAATTTACTAATATCCACTATTATCCTTCTTCTGGTGGTGTGTTCCAGGGATCTTGGGTTTGGGGCTCACATTTTGGCCTGTAATATTACTACAAAGTAGAAATTTTCCCCCAAAACGATTGTAGTTCCTTTTCTGTCTAAGGGCCAGGTCTGGTGTAATGTTTTCCTTCAGAGGCAGCCTTTTGGAATTATTCCCATGGAAAATTCTGCATGGAACAGTTTAGGTCAGCAATGGACATTTAATATTTTGTTGAGAGCTGCCTAGAGTGGCTGGGACAACCTGGTCAGATGGGTGAATAATAATAATAATAATAATAATAATGATAATGATAATAATAATAATAATTTAATATGCTCATGTTGGACTGTTTCCAAGTCCTATTGCTTGCAGAGATTTTCTAATGTTCTCCATATCCATTGGAAATCAATCCCAAAGCACTGCCATGAAGGTAAATATTCTGCTGGAAACTGATAGTGCCTAAATGAAAAAGCTGCACAGTTTGCAACAGTGATGGAAACCTTAGGCCTTTCACATGTTTGCCTGGAGCTGATGGGAGTCAGAATTCAACATTATCTGTAGATGGCCAAAGATTCCACACCCCTGCAGCAGTATTCCAAAAACAGTATTATAATTCCGGACAATTGTCCTTTATAAGCATCTATCCAAGAATGCTTTTCATAGGAATTCATAAGAAGAGGGTGGCTGACAATCATGTTTCTTAACTTTAATGCATTCAGTTAATGGATGCCAAACTTTAGAAAAGTTGTCCTTGATTTTCAGATGGTGTAGGGTTTGGGTATATTTTGTTAAGTTTTTCCATTAAAGCAATTATCTGGAGGTGCCAATAGTCTTGCAAGTCACCTGCAGATGCCTTTGGCCACCATGAGTCTGGCTGCTGCAAACAGGAATCAAAGTAGCTCTTTATAAAGAGCTTTTTTGGGCAAAGATGTTGAGCTTTTTTTTGCCCAAAGTTGTTGTCAAAATCTAAACTTCTGACACGGGGTGCCATGGATTCCAGTGATTTCCGCCCAGACACTGCTTCCAGAGGCCGAAACATTGTCCGGGAAATTCCGGACATATGGCAAGCTTAACTCAGGGCATCGCAAGGGTAGGTATCTCCTGTGGATATGCTTATATGCATTCTCCCAAATGTGCACTGATGCGGTGTGAAATGGGGGTTTGTTCCACAGGCTTGCCATGCTTCTAAATCAATTGTCTTGCCTAGGTCACTTTCCCATGGTTGTCTTAAGCTACCTGTGGAACCCAGTGAGGTTTCCAAAAGAATCCTATATATACTGGAGAGTAAGCCCTTATCAGGGGATGTGGGTGGCACTGTGGGTTAAACCACAGAGCCTAGGACTTGCTGATCAGAAGGTCGGCGGTTCGAATCCCCGTGACAGGGTGAGCTCCCGTTCTTCAGTCCCAGCTCCTGCCAACCTAGCAGTTCGAAAGCACCTCAAAGTGCAGGTAGATAAATAGGTACTTCTGTGGCAGGAAGGTAAACGGCGTTTCCGTGCGCTGCTCTGGTTCGCCAGAAGCAGCTTAGTCATGCTGGCCACATGACCCGGAAGCTGTGCACCGGCTCCCTCAGCCAATAAAGCGAGATGAGCGCCGCAACCCCAGAGTCAGTCACAACTGGACCTAATGGTCAGGGGTCCTTTACCTTTAAGCCCTTATCAAATGCTGAGTTTTGCTTTAGCATAATTTCAAAACTAGTTAAATACCTTGTTGTTTGGGCCTGAGCTTCAGGGGGTACATACAAATTCTAATCTGCAACCATATCTTTTGTTGACTGATCTATTAATTCCATCCATTACACCCATGTCTCCTAACTGGCATTTCTTGCACTTTGCATATTTCCAGGTGGACAAAGTAAAAAAGAAGATGTAACAATCACCATTCTATTTTCCAGCCTTGCTGGTGTCTTGGGAATTCTCCTGCTTTCAGTTTTCATCTGCCTCCTCTATAGAAGGTATGTATGCCAAAGTCCTAACATAAGCCAGTTCTATAGCTCTGTACAATTGGTCAGCTGCCACAATGACCATAAATTCAACTTACTACAGAAAAATAGCAAGGCATTATTTATACAGCGTTCTGCCTCTAACTAGGTTCACGCTGAAATTCAAAGAACTAAATGGATTTCTCCCCAACCTAGTCACAACTACTTTTCTTGGTTTTCTTGTCTCTGTAAGGTCTTCCTACATTCTATCCTATGAATCACCTTCTAGTTCCAGAGGCAGAAAGCTGTATAAATAATGCCTTGCTATTTTTCTGTAGTAAGTTGAATTTATGGTCATTGTGGCAGCTGACCAATTGTACAGAGCTGTAGAACTGGCTTATGTTTGCACTTCCCAAACCAATTTGTGAACCAAAATGCAGCCATCCTTAAAAATTCATACTTCTCTGATTTTTTCAATGTGTTCTCCAACCAAAACATGCATACAAAATTGCATATATTTGTGAAAATAATAAGGAAAATTCATTTGGCTGAGAGAAATTGTTTGCAAAATTACCTTAAAAATGTGTGCAAATTCTCATGCAGACTGTTTGTTTGTTTGTTTGTTTTTTTAAATTGCTATTTCTAACAAAGTAGTGGTGATACTCTATATTGGCAGTGGAATGTGTACGTGTATTAGGATCAGTTGTAAGATATTTCGATGGGTACACTAGATCTGAAATTATCCTAGGGTCTTATAGATGACATGTTGATCCAAACCCATTTTGCATGGTATCGGGAAGAAGGAATCTGATTATATTCTCCCCTCCCTGCATATGCCAGAAAAAGAGAAGCTGCTGCACCCAAAAGTCCTGAAACAATGTCAAGACCAAGCATCCAGGTAAGACCAAGGAAATAATAAGAGATTTGCTCTGAAACCATTTTTTTGTGTTAATAAGGGCACAATACTTTTACCATATGGTATAGACATATACAGGCTGCTAGCTATGTTGCCAATCATGCTCAAAAGCCACCAGAAGTGCATAGTCATAGTACTCAGTACACATTAAATGTTTCCTGGAAGCCACCTCACACTTGTTGTGGGCATTCCTCACCATGTATCCACCTATTCTGAGGCTACAACAATCTGTGTGTATTCTCGCCTTCCTTCCTTCCAATCTTCTCTTTTCTGAAGACTTCTCTTCTGGGAGGGGAGATCCCCATGTATCCCCCAGGTGTTGTTAGTACCACAGTATGGTCCCTGTCAGAATTGCTCCCCATCTCCTCCCTGGCTGCTTGCAATGAGAGGAAAGCTTCCATTTGGTCAATAGATTACATAGCCTGGGCTGTTTAGGATTTTTTTTTTTACAAAATTACCTTTTTACAAAATTCCATTTTGTTTTCTTAATGGTAAAAATATTTTTGATGACTTTTCTATAACTCTTGAAAATCATGTGGCATAAGAAAGAAAGAAAGAAAGAAAGAAAGAAAGAAAGAAAGAATAATACTCTGCCCATCTGACTGGATTGCCCCAGAAACACAAGCATGAATTTATGACTAGCAGTCAAGAATTTTCCAGTGCAAAAAATATCCAAACAACTGAGTCTACTGCTAATCATAATTCCATACTTTAATAACTTTGATATTGCCACCCACAGTGTATTTCACAAAATAAAAACTCTGCAGTATAAAGGGAATCTTTTCTCATTATTTCTATTGGGGTGGTGCAAGGCGGGTAAGTCAGAACATTTTTCTGCATATCATGAGATGAAAGAAACAAACGGGGTTGTGGCAGCTTCCTTCATGTTTTAAAATGCTTCAGAGTTTTACTTAGGTGACAAGCCATGTTTTCTTCTCAAAGGGATGCACTTCTGTTTTGTAGGAGAGTGAGTTGGAGCCATATGCCATTTTCGTACAAGTGGAAAATGTGATCTATGAGAAAGCAGGTGACTTCCCACAGAGTGAATGACACTTCCCATCAGAGCTCTTTTCTTCAAGCTGAAACGCTGTCTGACTTGAACTGTGTAAGAGAAAAATACATGGGCGGGGGGGGGTCATTAACAGCTTACAGTGACCCTCCCATGGACATGGGTACATTTTGGCTTTCTGTATCCTTCCCACAAACCCAACGGCCTGTTGTCTCTCTCTGCCAGTGCCCCATACTTGTCAAAAAACCAGAGTCAATTATCTGTATGTAAAAGAGGATGAGCAATTATGCACCTTTTCTCCAGGCTCTGTAGAATTCTTCCAAGAACGCTGCTGGCCTTAAATATTCTGCTCTGCATCATAACGAATCTTCTTTTTCTCACATTGACTGTATTTTTCCAGTCTAAGCATTCAGAAAGCTGTTGTGAAAACTATGAAAAGAGGTGATTCTAATTAATTGTCACCATCTTTCTGCCTAATCCAAGCAGACCATTCACTTTCATATGGCGCATTAAGTACAGGTTAAGAAGATCAAACCTATCCATTCTTAACGAAATCAGCCCTGAGTGCTCACTGGAAGGACAGATCCTGAAGCTGAGACTCCAATACTTTGGCCACCTCATGAGAAGAGCAGACTCCCTGGAAAAGACCCTGATGTTGGGAAAGATGGAGAAGGGGACAAGGAGAAGGGGACGACAGAGGACGAGATAGTTGGACAGTGTTCTTGAAGCTACCAGCATGAGTTTGACTAAACTGTGGGAGGCAGTGGAAGACAGGAGTGCCTGGCGTGCTCTGGTCCATGGGGTCATGAAGAGTCGGACACAAATAAACGACTAAACAACAACAACAAGTACAGCTTGAACTGGGAAGGGCTCTCAGGGCCAAATCACTCTTTAAGAGCACTGTTCTAAAAAGGGGACCATGTGTTGAGATTCCTGCAATGCAGGGGGTTGCACTAGATGACTACAATTCTATGATTCTAAGGACCATATAACCAGCATTCCAAGGAACTGTGCCACAGAAGAAAATAACTGTTCTTTCTCTGACTGACAGACGTGGAAGTAAGACACGCTCCTGGAAGACCGCATCCTGCAGAAGGACAGCTTCTTCCTAAAATTCTCTGGATTATGTTCTACATGTCAGTGAGGTTAATAGGGAGAGAGCAGGTATGGTGTTGTCAACTGAGTCAGACTTTGAGAGCGAGCTAACCTACCAAATAGAATTGTTGTGAATGGGCACGTTGCCCCAAACTCCTTGGAAGAGTGGAATTAAATTATAATAACTAATAGTAATGGAACTAGGGATATCTCAGACTATTAATCTCGGGGATTTGGGTTCGAGCCTCACACTGGGGAAAATATTCCTGCATTGCAGGGGTTGGATGACCACTGTGGTCCCTTCTAACTCTACAATTCTATGATTCTATAGGAGAAAAGTACCTGTAGCCCTTTGTGACAAAGTGCCTTATGAAACTTCTCAAAAGTTAATGGCCGTATATTGTCTATACTTTGCCATTAGTGAACAAATAGCTCTTCACAGATCAAGAGCAGAAAGGGGTTTCTGAGGTTATGCATAGGAACCGAAGAAGAGCCCTGTGCAAAAGCCTATTTCTATGGCATCCTGTTTCTCATAGTAGCCAAAAAGATTTCTATAGAAAGCCAATAAGGAGGACACAAGTGCAATAGTGCTTTCCCTTCAGCAACTGGTGTTGAAAAAAATGTCCCCTCCAACACAGGAGATAATACACAGCCAATACGACTAGCAGGCATTGATAACCTACTATCAATTGAATTGATCAGCTTTCTGCTGTTTAGACTCATCAGCTGAGCACGCAACAATGTTCCTTGATTCTCTGAGAGCTCTAAAGTAAGAACTAGATCCAAATGTAATCAAAAGAAGGACAAGGAACCCAATTGAATTAGAGCAATAAGGATGTGAATCAGGACTGGGTTCAGGCTTGAGGGGGTCCTCTGATGAACCCCCTCTTCTGTCAGTGGGCCTTAGGAGGCTTATCCAGCTGTGGTAGCAGATCTAAGTTGCACTGGGACACTGTGTCTAGCCACCCAGAGCAACACTAGGCTTGGGGGAATTATAGGAAATTTAAAGGATAACTAGATACAGCCTCCAGCACAGAGGCCCAGGACAGACATTAGCAGTGAGCCTTGGTTGCTGCCCAAGGATGCCATGTACCTTGGTCCTGATATGAATGTAGCTTTAACAGCAGCAACAACAAAAAGGTAATCCATAATGACCTTATATTACCTTGTCAAGAGTCACTAAGTAGCAATTCAACCTCATGGTCAGTCATGTTGTGGGAGAAAAACATTGTTGTGCACATGGCAACAGGGGTCTCTGCGCATACTTTGGGTATGCTTTCCTTGGAATAACGGTAGCCAGAGACCTAAAAGGTAGCCAGAACCTAAAATCTCAGGGCTGTTCAGATGGCATCTAGACTAGCCCCTACCCCAAAATGGACAATGTTTCTTAGGCCTCTTCCACTTGCTTTCCCTTAACAGATCTGGAAACTTTTTTATATAATTCTCAAGGAACCTTCATTGATCAGCCAATGTGGTGTAGTGGTTAGGGTGTTGGGTTAGGACCTGGGAAGCAAGAGTTCAAATCCCCACACTGCCATGAAGCTCACTGGATGACCTTGGCTGGATCTAGACACATCAAAAAAGCGATTCAGTTCAACGTGTTGTAAACTTCATACGGGGAAATCCTGTTGGTGAAAGACGGGGCTCCACAGTGCCACCTGGTTTCACAGTGTTACAATGCATATAAAGCGCTTTGTTGTAGCATTCGCAGCATATAAAGCTTGTGCCAGTCACAGCCTAACTTACCTCGCAAGGTTGTTGTAGGGATTAATTGAGGAGGGGAAAACCATGCATGCCACCTTGAGCTCTTTGGAGAAAAAAAGTGGGATGTAAATGCAACTAATAATAATAATAATAATAATAATAATATTGATCCCATCCATTTTACTGAATGTGTGCAATCTAATTTGATATTTCTGCAACTGTAAATTTAGAACAAATAAAAAATATACATCAAGTTTTCCCTGAGGCCTAGACCACCATTGCCTCCTGTTGGACCATATATACCCCAGTGAAGTGTAATCACAGTGGAGCCGTGAAACAAGGTCTGGGTGTTTTTTTTGCATATTAGGGGAAATGAAGTAATGAAGAAATGAAGTAGAAAAATGCTGAGTGGTTTTCCTAAAGTCACACAGGATGTCTGTGGCAGAGACAAGACCCATGGGTGCAGACCTGTGAAGAGAACTTGAGAAGATGTGAGCTCTAGCTTCCTTGTCTGTTTGTTCCATCTAATAGCCAACCAGCAGAGCAATGAAATGGGGCCATTTCCAGACAACGTGAGGGTTTCTGTACGCTCATGGGATTCCCCAGATATGCAGGAAAATATTACTTAGTTAAAAAGAAATGGAGATAAAATCCCCTTCTGTGGATGCATAAAGTCCTTCCATAGGAACAAAACATTCAGAACACCAAAGGCTGCGTACGCACACACAAGGTTGTGTGTGTGTACACACACACACACACATACAGAGCATTTTATTCTAGAATCAATGGAGTCAGAATACTTGTTATTTCTATGTAGTCCACACACAATCTACACCCACTGCATATTTCTGTTGCCCCTGAAAAGCACATTCTGAAAATAAAAGTTCATTGCAGGTTGATTCAACAGTTTGATGCTTTGAAAACAGATGTAGGTGGTGCCAGCAATGGAGAGTGAATCCACACCTGACCAATGATGTTGTGGGTGAGCATACACCAAGGTGGCAAATGCCACTTCAACAGCACATTTCAAAAGATGCCTGCATCCAGCACTGAAGGCATACAATAATGCAGCGTGTGCACTTCCTAAGCCACCACAAATTTACCACAGACCAAACTTTCATAATACCTCACATCGCCTCAGACACTATACTTTCCCAAGGAGTCAGTTCATACATGTATCTGAGAGTCATCAAGTACTGAGTAAGCAAGCAAATGTGAAAATGTATTTATTCAAAAGATTTTAGATATGCAGTGGTACCTCGGGTTAAGAACTTAATTCATTCCAGAGGTCTGTTCTTAACCTGAAACTGTTCTTAACCTGAAGCACCACTTTAGCTAATGGGGCCTCTCGCTGCTGCCACACCGCCGGAGCACGATTTCTGTTCTCAACCTGAAGCAAAGTTCTTAACCCGAGGTACTATTTCTGGGTTAGCGGAGTCTGTAACCTGAAGCGTCTGTAACCTGAAGCATCTTTAACCTGAGGTACCACTGTATACATTTTAGACTTCCCTACTAGGGCAGCATATAATAAGGATCATAAATCACTGGTATAAAATCATATATAAACAACTGAGCAGTCAGTGGTGTAAAAATGCACAAGTTTTGCTGTTGGTAATAGCATTTTGGAGGCCGGACTCTGCCATCAAATGGCCAACACAGGTGTTGCCAATTGCTAACCCCTTATTTAGAGGAAGTATTGATGGAATACTTGAAACATTAAAAATAGGGTTATGGGCAATATTTTGGACAAGAATCAACATCTGAACTGAAGAAAATCTAGTGTTTGTTCTTTGACTTAATATACAGTATTGGCCTGAATATAAGTCGCACCCGAATATAAGCCGCACCTTTAAAATTGGAGGGAAGGAGACAAAATAATAAAAAAAAAAACCCTGAATATAAGCCGTTCCATTCCTCGCTGCTCCTGGCTCCATTGTGGGCAGGGGGGAGCCACGCTGCACTGCTGGCAGCCTTTCCCCTTCCTCTCTCTCTCTCCCTTCCTGACCTTGGGGGAGAAGACAGGGGACTATGCGCAGGACGGGCACCGCTTTGCTGTGCTCATTGCGCTGTTTGCCCCACACTCTTGGCTGCATAGTGTAAAGTCGCGAATATAAGCTGCACTTTAACTTTTCACGGTCGGAATTTGTGGGGAAAGTGCGGCTTATATTCGGGTCAATACGGTACATGTAAGTTTATACATAAGAACAAAAAGAACATAAGAAAAGCCCTGGTTAAAATGTATGTGTGAAGTGGCCCTAAAACAAGTCGTCTGGCTTTCCCCACATTGCAAAAATGTGCATCTGTGGCCTCCCCCCACCCACTTCGTATTCATAAGGATCAGATTGTTTTGCCTGATGGCAGTTTTAGCAAAGGCCAACCCAGTTCCTACGCAGTCCTCTTAACAAAAACAACACCGCAAAATAATACTACGCAGACCTCAGAGGATGTGCTTTTTTGAATAAATTGAATTTACAGCAATATGAGAATTCCAGATTCCTGCCTCACGTTTATATGGTGGTGTGCTTCGTTCTGGAGGATCCCTCCTGTTGCTCTGGAATTGCTGCATGACTTCATTCCCCACTGAAAAGCAGCCCTCTTTGCGGCTGAACACAGCCGTTGTTTAAATTGGTAAGCAACTCAAGTATTTCAGAGCAGGAAATGAAGAGCGATTATTTCAGAGTGGAGTAACAGGAGGGAATTTAGGTGGGTGAATACCCTGCCTGCGTTTGGTCTGTGAGCTACATGTTACATCCTCAGAAAGAAGGATAGAGAGTTTTTAGTGGACCAAAGGAATTACAGTTGTCTTTTCCCTGACAGCTGCCATTTTGCATGGCTAGACCAATGCCACAGTACTCAGCTGACTCAGAGGGGAGGCAACACATGGGGCTGTTAAATGTGCTGTTTATAATTTTATAGGCTTTATTTTAAGGACTCCCACCCAAGTGTTGATTTGGCACACCAGGAACTGCAAGGATAAAATCAGACATCACCTGAGAGAAGGATAGGAGGTCAACCCCATTCTGCTTTTCAGCTGCCTCACTCATTCCATTAAGGTTGCAAACACCAGGTCACCTAGAGTCTCTCATGCACTTGCTTCATAATTGTTAGCAGTTTGTATTTGCTGTTTTATGGCAAAGGGTGAAATGAAATGACCACAAGAACAGTGAATGTTTCATTGACTCCAGCGTCCTCCTCAGCCCTGCTACAGATTTCCATCCCAAACACGCTAATTTAAACTAATCTGCAAGAAAACTGAAATCATAGCAAGTTTGTTCCAACTCCTTCTGCAGGACAATAGACTGGATTTAGTACTTTTAAAAGTGTTTGCAGGTGGCTGGCGCACACAGATTTTCCCCCCTGAGGTTATTTGTCCTGTGCTGGTTTTTTGTTTTTTATAACATGAAAGCAAAGGATTGTAGTTCTGGAGAAATAAGGTTATCCGAGGTAAACCATCTACTTTCATCAGTCAGTGCTGGTGGTGCAAGGACTGGTAATAAAACAAGAGACTCTTCATGTGTTCTGGTTCATCTGTTCGTATTCATGTGTCTGGCCGTTTTGCAGAAGCTGGGATTGACCTCTGGAATGGGAAACGTCCTAGGTATTTGACAGAATTGCTCCTTGATGCAATCATGATGAGAGAGCTTCCTCTAGTTCACTTTGAAAGCATTTGGTGTGTTTTTTTTAACTTTCTCAAATAACTTTTGAAAAAAGATAAATGCAAGTTTGTGATCCCCCCTCCCCCCCAGAAAATGGAATTAAAGAGGGAAAAGTTTACAAACATTACCTTCGGTTTAAGGGCAAACTAATTTAGAGTTTCAGAGGCACTGCTACAAATAATGAGACAGGCTGAAAAACAATTTATAGGCATCTCTTATCAGCTACCCGTATCCTCACCTTATCTATGCCTCACGCAGTTCAGTTATCTAAAATGTTTGTCTCACATTGCTCAAACACAAAACACAATTCTAAACTGGCTACACCTCAGTTACATGAATTTTGCAAGGCATATGAGGAAAGCATTTGCTGAACTATGGACAAGGACATACTGTTCTACCATCAGCAGCTTATAAACACAACTGCTTCTTCTTAGGAAATATCCTGAAAGTGAGATCAGCATTGATCCATTTATTGTACCTTCTCCTGGGGCCTGTTTTGTGATATTAGAAAAATAAATCACTGTTAAATAAGTTCATGTCTCAACTTACAACAGGCCAGTTATTTTCCTCCCTCCTTGGGGACTTTCCCCACCTTCCCATCATTATTTGTGAATGAATAAGCCTTAGTTATACTGAAATAGAGTAATTTGTTTTAATAGTGTCTGAGCACACACTGAGGTAATATGCGTCTGATGCCTAATCGCATTTCTCAGGAAAGGAATTTGCAGTTTCAGAAGAAGGTTTATTTATCTTTAAAGGGCCATTTCGGTCAGAAATGAGCCTGGACGAACAGCATTGTGAAATTCCATGCTTATTTGGTGTTATTGCGGGGAGGAGGGGGAAGTTTGCTCTATTTACTTAAAAGACCATTGGTGGTGATTCTGGCAGGCAGTTCTGAAAACATTACAGGGGCTAGCAGTAGCAAAAGAAACTGCAGAAGCTGTGTTTGAAGCGAGGTGGGATGGAGTGGGATCTCATTCCACTTATTTTCAGGCGAACTTAAAGCCACTTTTTAGCAGACACAATTGAGTCTTGCCTAACATGAAAGCAGTGGCGGATGTACCCTCTCCGGCACCTGGGGGAGGATGAAGTGCCTGGTGACGCACATGCGACGTCCGTACGGACTGCGCTTGTGCAACATCCTGTACGGAGTGCACATGTGTGGCAGCTAGTACAGTCACCCGTATGGACATCGCGTGAGAGTGGCAACCCGTATGGATGTCGTGCGACTCGGCCGCTCTACAGCTGGGGGGAGGCAGGGGCCATCTTGTCAACCCCTCCCAGAGTGGCACCCGGGTCAACCCGCCCCCGCCACCCCCCCCACTTCATATGCCCCTGCATGAAAGAAAACATCCCAGTCAAGCATTGACTAGAAACACACATTCTAGAACAATCATGTTAGTCTGTAGTAGGATAGCTAGCTAGACAGATAGATAAAATCCAAAATTACTGCAGCACTTCATTGAACATGTGGGGAAGGTAACAGGAAGATGCTCCTGCCTCTATTAGGCCCTCTGGCTATAACCCCTAGCAACTGCATGTTTGGTGAAAAGAGCATGAAAAAGGGACTTCATTAATTGTTGTACCCAGGAGCATCCAATATACATGG